ATCATCAGTTTCGTTATATATATATATATATATGTTTTTCCGTCTATATTATATATATATATATAATAATATAACGAATACCTTGCATTTCCTCATCACCGACATATTTTTCGTCAGAAAAATATTTATTTCTTTTCCGTTAAAGTACGTTGCGGTGAGTGATCGCTTTGTTTGTAATCCTATCACGCTCCCAATTTTTTTTTTATTATTTACTGGTATTTTCCTTTTGTTAGTTATATATACTATATTATATATATACCTATAAAATTATGTATTTGAAATATTTTTTATTATGGTTTAATTATTTTATTAATTTTATGTGTCTTCTTTCTTTCTAACTAATATATTTCTTAAAAAAAACTGGGGCTATAGAAAAAATTAATTTTCTTGGAAACATGAATTTATTTTAATGTGTTTTGCACCAAGTTTTTTACATATTTTAAAATAGTATTTATTCAAGGCTTTTTTTATTTTTTAAAAAATATTTACTAAAATCAATATTCCTTTTTTTATTAGATTGACATTGACATTATTCAGAGCTTTTTTTTTCTATTAAAAATTACTCCTCTGTTTTCTTTTCTATTTATTGTAGAGAAATATTTTTGTTTTTTTGGGAATGTAATCTTTTCTACACTATAGAGAAAGTTATTTTTAAATTAGTCAACTTGGAGATGGGCAGGCCAAGGTATTATAAAAGAGACTGAGAAGGCCTTGAAGTATATGTCGGTTGTCGTTCTTAAGATTGAAGCTTCAATAAGTTAAGAAAACTATGTATTTGATATTTTTATTAGTTTAATTATTTTGATTTTATTTTTATGTTCTTTCTACATAATATTTCTTAAAAAAAACTGGTATAGAAAAATAATTTGAAAACATATTATTTTAATGTTTTGCAAGTTTTTTAATTATTTTAAAATATTATCAAGCTTTTTTATAAAAAAATTTAAAATAATATTCTTTTATATTACATGAATTATCAAGCTTTTTTTTATAAAAATTACTCCTCTGTTCTTTTTATTTAGAGAAATTTTTTTTTTTGGGTGTATTTTTTATATAGAGAAAGTTATTTTAAATAGTAACTTTGGGATGCAAGCCAAGTTAAAAAGACTAGAAAGGCCTTGAAGTATATGTGTTTTTTTTAAGATTGAAGCTCAATAATTAAGAAAAATGTCAAACATAAATATTCTCAATATTTAATGCACGCGTATTTCAAATGATAAGTTATCAACTCACTTTTTTATTTTATTTTATAGTAACAGTGGTCATTTTTATAAATTTGGCCACATAAATACAAAATTAGCTCTTATTAGTATATTTAATGAATATATATCCACTTTTATTACTGAAAATTTGGCCACGACTATTGACGTCAGGAATGAATATATGTTATGCTTGGAGTGGGGATCCAAAGATAAAAATGATACACTAAAAGGAGTTAGCTACTCTTCCAAAAAGGGCTGGAAGAGTGCCTTCAGTTGTAAACAATAATGTTGAGATTTTGAAAAAATTGAATGCAATTACTACTCTTTTGGCCATCTTGAGGGAAAAGATAGATAAAAAGAGTGAGCAAATACAAAAAAATAGTACACAACTTGAAGAGCTACAGTCTTTTGTTGTTGATTTGAGGCATTTTCATCAAGGAATGAGTCAGTATTCTGAGATTTTCGAAATACCTATTAAAAAAAAAGGCAAAAAAATAAAGAATTGTTCAAAAGTAGTGATCACCAAGCACTCATAGATTCAGATGAGACCGAACCTCGTACACAAGCACTCATAATTTTAAAATACTATTTTTTACTACAATTCAATTAATAATGTCAAGTACAATTATTATAGTTAAGATGGTGACATTACTGAGAGCTTACTCAGTTATTTGATGCATTAGAAAAGGACAAATGCTAATTTGTTAAAATAGTGAATTCCGTTGAATGTCCTATCATATATAGGAGTTGTCTCAATCTCTAAAAAATTAAAAAAAAAAACAAATTAGAATAAAAAAAGTGATCCACAATCACTGCTCTCCAATCCATATAGTTTGGATTTAGATGTCTCAACTGTATGTACGTTCAAATTAGCAATGTTATTAATTTAATAATATTGAATATCTAATTTTGACATGAAAATTTTAAATTGCTATAATAGATTTGCAAAATAATCAAGCATAACCAACGACGTGTTGGTTGTAGTAGTAAACGACTTCAATCCAATGACAAATTTGATCTTCAATAAACACATTTTACTGAGAGGATAAAAAATATTTACACTCTACGGTTTAAGAAGATTACACATGCTGATTATAAAAAAAAAAAAAAAATCAAGTATATGTTTGTTTTAGATGTGAAATTTTTGAATATATATCTTTAACAAGACTTGAATTAATTAGTCTGTCGGCTAAAAATCCAAATTTCATAATTTTCCTTAGAAATAAGGTTGAAAAATGATGAAATAAAAAATAATATCATAATTAATGATAATATATGAGCCGAAAAAATTTGTCTAAACCATATCCATAGTCTATTTATGAACAAACTAATGAAATTAAGAATTTTTTAAAAAGTGTTCCGACTTTATCCTTTTTTTCAAATGTATAATCAGGAATATATTCATTTCAATAAAATACTGAATTTCATTGATTTGGTCTATAAATGAGATCATGGAACCGGTCTAGATAAGTTTCTCCCTATATTAGCAGCTTAATTTCACTGATTTTTTTTTACAATTAATATTAAAATTAAAATTTTTGGTATTTTAAGTTTTAAATAGAAGTTGAAAGAAGCATGCCAACATGCACTTTTTGACCTATAAATTTGCGTGTGTATAAATGTGTTGGTACATATACGTATATACCGGGAGCAATTAATTATTTTGGTACAAACGTACATACATACAAAATTAAGAAAACCACCTAGAAGACACTACAACCAAAGAGAAACCTAAAAGATCTTCTAAGAATTTGATTGGATGAGGATTATTCCGGAAGTTTCGAGGGTAAGGTAAGGTAAAATAGAGCTATATGGGTTGTTAGGAAGAGAGTATGCCCATCTGTCATCCTCAATTGAAGGAGTTGGCGAGGATTAAAAATTTTAGTTTTTCATATTATGCATCATATTTTAAAAATTCCAAATTCCAAATTTTAGTTGGTTGCCCTTCAAAAAAAAAAAAAAAAAAAAAGGTTGGAGATGGTCTCGGCAGAAGAGATTCCTCGAGTAAAAATTTGCCTATTTTCAAATAGGATGATAAAAAAAAAAATAAAAAAATCACAATATTATCCCAAATTTTATTTTTTTTCAGAAATTTATTACAACTGATTTTCATATAAAAAAACTTTAATGGAGGAATAAGTTAGTAAATAAACGTATCTAAACTTAAAGATCTGAAATCTTCAATTATAAACAACCAACAATCCATCTTATATTTTGAATAACAAGAGAAATAAAATATTGATATAAAAATTACTCAATAACGAGAAACAACTCTGTGAAATGAGAAAAGTTAATAATTAAAACACACAACTCAAGTGAGAGAATACTAAAAATACTCAAGATATCAACTATTACAAATCTGAGAAATTAAATCCAAATTTTATTTTAAACGATTACAGATTTAAAATTTATTAAAAGATAATTAAATAAAATAAAGAAATACTATGAAAATGGATGAAAAGGAACTACCATTGACCAAAGAAGACATCGACAATGGTTCAAAGAGAGAGAGAAATGACTAGATTAAAAAAATCACAGTAAAAAAAGAATAACACACCTTACTTTACCTTTTTTTTTTTTTTTTTTGGGGGAAAAAATATTTAATTGGAAAAAAAGCGGATGAACTCACCATTGTACCAATAGAAGACATCGACAATGGGCTTCCCCAAAGAGAAAGAGAGCAATGGACTAGGATTAAAAAACAATTCACAGGCAGCTTTAAAAAAAAAGGAAAGTAACAACAACCTTACTTTACCTTTTTTTTTTTTTATTTTTTTTTTTAGGGAATATAACATGATGCCTAATTGTCGCAGTGAATATACTTTACATTATGCAATATAAAATACTTTTCTCCTCTAACTCACTAAACTTCGACGAGAACTCGTATAACATTCCACTCATCACAACCTAAAGATGAAAGACCAAACCTTACCTTTTAATTAAAACCTACTCTCTTATTCCCATCGCAACGCGAAGTCCAAACTTACTGTGCATTTAGCTGCTTATTTTCATTTCCTAAGTACTTTATAAATGGTAATAATATTAAATTTAGCTACTAATTTTTTATGAAAAATAGAACTTCTCAAAATGAATTTAATAGTCATTTTAAGAATGTATCCAGTTAGATTTTATGATGTTACTAATCTTGGTTAGCTTGGCAAATCGAATCATCATGGGGTTTTTATTAATAACGAATCACAAGTTTTTATTCTGATAATTTATAGGTTACAATTTTTTAAATTGAAATTACAATTATTATTATATTTCCATTAGTATTGAAGTTTTAGTAGGTCGCAGAGACGTAATTACTGAGTTCAAAAATATTATCTCGTAAAAAACTTGGTTAAAGCTTTTGGTTCGTCAAAATCCATGGCGCCCAAACAGCCATACTTCTTCTTGCGGCCCAGAAGCAAGGAGCACCTGGGGAACCTCAACAACATTTTTTTTTTTTTTTTTTTGGATATAACATGAGGCCTAATTGTCCGGAGTAATATATTACATTATGCAATATAAAATAACTTTCTCCTTAACTCACTAAATTGAGAACTCGATACATTCCACTCATCACACTAAGATGAAGACCAACCTTACTTTAATAAACCTACTCTCATCCCATCCAACCGAAGCCAACTTATTGTTGCATACTGCTTATTTCATTTCCTTATTATTTATAAATAGGAATAATATTAATTTAGCTTATAATTTTTATGAAAAGAACTCTCAAAATAATTTATAAGTCATAAGAATGTATCCATTATTTATGATGTTACTAATCTTGGTTAGCTTGCAAATCGATCATCATGGTTTTAATAACGATCACAAAGTTTATTTATAATATAGGTTACAAAATTTTTAATGAAATTACAATTATTATTATATTTCCATTAGTATTGAAGTTTATATGGAGACTAATTACTGAGTTCAAAATTTTCTCGTAAAAACTGGTAAAGCTGTTCGGCAACCATGGCGGCATACTCTTCTTGCGGCAGAAGAGCACCTGGAACCTCAACAAATTTGCTGACCCCTTTGGCTCCTCTGAGTGCTTCCATCTCTGCTTTTGACCTCCTTGGAGATCCTTCAGTTGACACAGCAAGAACTGGTAGCAATCCATCCAAACCTGCAAAGAGTTCAAGAAACTCTTCTCGAGATTTAACTGGGTCAAGGAGACCTGTCAAGAAAGCGGCAGGTGCATAGCGAGCGCCCTTCCGTTTTGTTAGTGCATATCTACTCTCAATGATATCTGAAGTCACATTCTCAGGGTTTGCATAGACGTGAGATTTGTACTGCGATTGAATTGCCTTTTCATTGCTTACAAGCATGTTATACATCATCCAACCAACACCAGGGGCTCTTAGGGTGCCCCTAAGCATTCCGTACCTGTCAAGTCGATAAGAAGTGGACAAATTAGTTCAGCTTCATCTGATTCATGCATATATAGTTCAGTGGATCTGATACAAAAACCTCTATGGACTAACAAGAATAAGCTACAACATTTGTTGATTAAAGCAAAGAGCACAGCAAATGCCATTGGTGTAGAACCTCTATGGACTACCAAGAATAAGCTGCAACATTTGTTGATTAAAGCAGAAAGCACAGCAAATGCCATTGGTGTAGTAGTCAAATAGTCGAGTACATCCTTATCTTGCAGAAGATCAGAGGGTAAAAAGCCATCGCAACCTCCTCCCCCTTTAAAATTCTAACGTACCTAACCGAAAAAAGAAGGAACATGGCAAATAATCTAGGGCACGACCCCTGACACACAATTGGGTTGACAAGTTACCTAGTCAGACCAAATATTAAATGTGGCAGTTCTAAGAGCAGGAAAAACGATTGAATGAAAAAGAAAAAAAATCATGTAATTTTAATCAAGTTATATGTACAACTGGTGAGCTAAGTTGAGTTTTCTGCACCAGAAATAGTTACCCCTCTTGTATTTGTTAATCCTAGGAGAACACACAGATTGCCATGTTCTCTTCTAGTTGCAACACCAGTTAAATTGAGCTCACACCTGTATATTTTACTCCTATACATCGACAAATCAACTTGTTCATATCCAAAAAGATGATACTTCAATTTGTACCTTGTTTCCATGCTGGAATCTCGACCAAACACAATAGGAAGAGGACCAGCCCAGGTTGGTGCAACAGCAGCAATGGCAGATGGCTTCACCAAGCCTTTTTTGGCAGCACGAACTATTAATGTGGCAGCATGCCCTCCGCCAAAGACCACCAAGCCATTTTCTGAATCAATTGCAGAAAATTTTCAGAAAGACACGCCCTACAATTTTCCCTTGTAATTTCCAGTAAATAACAACATAATCCTGAAACAGATGAAATGTGTTCAGCGGTGGACATAGATTGTTATGATGTAGGAAGAAGTGTTTCTCTCTTTTGATTCAAGTGACAATAGAAAAGAACATAAGGTTCTTAGATTTCTTTTGATCTAACTCCACAACATTAAGTATACTACATATCAAGAGTCCAGAGGAACAAGAAATTCTGCCCTTTATTAGAAGAACATGAAAGAGAAAAAAAAATTATACTACCAAGCACACAAATCCAACAGCTATAAACTGGCAAGAACAGAGAAAGCTAAATATTAATACCCAAGGAGTAATTTGGCCTGATAACAACCCATGTAAATGTTAGAATTACAATCAGAAATAGAAGTACCAATTGTACAAAATCCAAAAGAGTCAAGGACAATTACTAATCGTAAGAGTAGCAACTTTTGGCTTATCACAGTTAATATATATTACATTTATCATTTTTCTCGTTTGTGGGTTGGATAAGGAAATTGTGGAATAAGGGGTTAGCATTTAGCTATATGTATAGGAACACATATATAAAGGTAATAAATGGGAAAATTTTATGACACAGAAAATTGTATCCAGACGTAGAACATTGTCTAAAGCAGGTATAAATGCACATGATGCTTTAAGCTATCATTAACAATGAATATGATACAAGCCATAAAAAGAATAGATAAAACATCAAATTACTAGTGATGCATAAAGAAAACAAGAAATCAGATATACACTTTGTTTTACTACCTGCGTAACGCAATGGACTATCTGATGCATTTATGAAGTCCACTAGAAATTTCTCCATGACATCAGCATTATAATCCATTTTTGGCCTATCAGAATAACCCAAACCAGGCCAATCAACAATTGTAGCCTGCCAATTAATTTTACCTACTTGTTGAACAATGTCTCTGGCCACTGATCTCCATTCTTCAACAGTGCTGACATCAGAAATAGTCGGTATCATAAGTATATTTTTTGGTGGATCAGAGCTTTCCTTTGCATGTTCTTCATAATAGATGTTGATGGTGTTGTCTTTAAATTTCCATTGCCAGTTGTTTGACTGAAATTAAAGAGACTAGTAGTGAGAGAGAAAAAATAAAAAAGAATATAATCCCGCAATTAAAATCAAATATCATTTAATAACTAGATAATGGAATCACATAGTTTGCAGAAATTTTGACCTTATGCATAACATTGAAGTTGCATTGATAATGTTTGGCAAAGGATGATTTAACCTTACCAAACAAAGTGGGTATACAAAAGCCACAAGGAAACAAAACCATGATATTGTATTCTGCAGAGGCAGGAAATTTAGACTATAGACAGCATGTATGTGGAAATTTTGCAACTTGAAGGGCAGAACCATTCTTCATAAATGGTGGCAATGTGTGTCAAATTTTCATCAGAACCTTATTATATAGCCGAAAATGTGTAATGAGAGAATATTGGACACCCGCATAAAATCAGGCAAATCCACATGTTACAGACAGAAAGTTACAACCTAAGATTGAAAGCATGCTTATTTGATGCATAAATCTATCAGGGATACGCTAAAATCAAGAGCTAAAACTGAAATCCACACAGCCAAGAATAGAAATTATTCTTTTACTTAGTTCTACAATTACATTTTCTTATTCGTTTGCAAATTCTATTAATCTTGCTAGAATTTGATCAAGCATAGCCAAGTCCATAGAATTAAAGATGTATAAGTCTAAATGAATTTGCATTTAACACGAAATTGTAAATTTGTAAACCAATTCCGTAAAATCTTTTGAATTTCATTATACTAAACAAGCTCCAATCACGAATGGCCTAACTAAATTAAATCTTCCAAATCTTAAAGCCACTATTCTGCATAGTCCTGAGCTCAAGCACAACGAAAGCCACTATTTCGACGTTTCAACCACAAGCACTAAACAAAGCAATAAATTCAGTTATCATATAATCAAGAAACAAATTAGAAAAACTATTCCTTTATATAAAATAAAGGTGCAGATTAGACTCACCTTTAAATGGATGGTGGGTTTATCGGCAACGGGGACTGTGGAGTAGCCAACAGAATTTGATGAGGCTTTTACCAAAATGGGATTTAGAGAAAGAAATGGTTTATAAGTTCTGCAAGAAAGGGAATAAGAAGGTGAAGGAGAGATGAAGAATGTGGCAGAGGACAAAGCCATTGTTTTGTTTTAGGGTTTTGGAGTTGTGAGAAAAGAAAATGCGAGTGATGAGAGAATTTTCAACAGTCAATGTACTTGAAGCAGAGCCATAAAGTCCAATGAGATTTTTGGTGGTTGCCTGGTTAAAAGAAATATCAGCGTGGACTCCCAAGTCCCAACCAATGAAGGGATGTGTTGATTTGATTCCAAAGAATTTGGAAAGTCTAAATTAGTGGTTCCCTTGGTGAATGCGTTCCCCATCGTTGGCGGATGGAGCGAAACTTTTCCTTCGGTTAAGATTAGAGAGAACTTTTTCCTCGTGGGCCTCCAGTTTTATGCACATTGACTGGGCCTTTTGCATCCCAGTGGTTTAGGAAGTTTTAAAATAATGGGCTTTCGTTTGCAAGGATTCATTCAAATTAGCGTCTAATGTAAGAACTCTTTCGCCATCCCAATTAAATGACCAGTCTTCCCTACTTCCAGACTCCAAAAAGAAAGATGTCCTTGGACCCATTGTAAGGAGACACAAAAGGAAGAAACTTTACATATTAATTACCAGTAATCTCCACAAGAACAAGAACCATCAATGAAAGAGTGAAAGCGGCTTCTATCTCTGACCACAATTTCCAATTTATAAACCTGAGAAATCATTTTCATTACTACATGACAGTCCCTGCAAATCCTCAAATTCTTAACTACCCTTATTGTCTTCCCTTCACGCAATCTTGCTATGCCAAATGCCACAGCAAGCTTTTCACTATGCATAGACATTGAATCTTCTTTTTCTTCCTCTTCTATATCATGTAAAACACAACCAATCTCTGGGGCATAACCTCCTTCAACCCTAAGCCTGAACATTACATCCTTCAGCTTCTCATAAGCCTCTTCAGTAATTTTATCTTGTTTTGCACCTGCCACAAAAGTGTACATGACCTTATCAACTTCAATCATGCTCCAACCAGGAGTTTTCTTTATTCTCTGGTCGCTCATTGATCTTCTCACGGTAGCAACATCTTTCCATTTCCCTGCCACTGCATAAACGTTTGATAATAGAACGTGGTCGCTAGAATTGTTTGGGTCGAGCTCAGAAAGCCTTTCCTTCACCTGCTCAGCCAATTTGACATCACCATGAATGCTACAGGCCCCAAGAAGTGTCCGCCAAATAACATCATTAGGTGGAATAGGCATTTGGTATACAAATTCACAAGCCTTCTGTAGCTGACCAGCTCGACCATATAGATCAACCATGCAACCATAATGCTCAATGGCTGGTTTTATATCGTAATGATCCATCATCTTATTAAAATATTCACATCCTTGATCGACCAATCCAGCATGACTACAAGCATACAAGAGCAAAATAAAGGTGATCCCATCAGGCCTAGTTCCAGAGCTTTCCATTTCATGGAAAAGCTTTATTGCTTGTTCCCCATGACCATGCATTGCAAAGCCTGCCATCATTGAAGTCCAAGAAACAATGCTCTTTTTCTTTGGCATACGTTCAAAGACAAGTTGAGCCAAACATAAATTCCCACACTTGGAGTAAGTATCCAGTAATGCGTTATTCACTGATACAATCCAATCAAGCCCAGCTTTCACAATAAACCCATGTAATATTTTCCCAAACTCAAATGCCCCTGCCTGTGCACATGCTGATAGCACTCCTGTCAAGCTTACTTCATTTGGTCTTGTCCCTTCCCTCTGCAACTCCCTAAAAAATTCAAAAGCCTCATCAAAACACCCATTATGGGCAAACCCAACAATCATAGTGCTCCAGGATACATCATCCTTCACCGGCATTTCCACAAACATTTTCCTTGCAAGCTCTAGTTCCCCTGTTTTCACATACCCTGCAAGCATCACATTCCACGAGGTCAAGTTCCTCAAGGGCATAAGATCAAACATTTGCTTCGCACCCTTAACATCTCCACCGTTAAAGCACGCAGTGATCACTGCATTCCATGCAACAACATTTGGTTGAAGCATTTCCTCGAACACATTCCTCGACAATTCTACAGACCCACATTCCCCATACATACTTATCAAAGTTGTCCCAACAAAAATATGGGTGTTTAATCCATGAGTCAAAGCTTGACAATGCAATTGAACTCCAGTTCTCAAGGACCTTAAATTGGCAGCCGCTTTAAGAATGAAAGCGAAAGAGAAGCTATCAGGAGTGAAAAGTGATTCTCTCCTCATTTCAACGAATGTGAAGATAGAATTTTGGGGCTTATCAGATTCGGCAAGGCCTCGGATGAGGGTGTTGTACATGAAAACATCTGGGTTTGGAGTGTGGCGAAACAGACTGCAAGCATAGTCCAGAGAATCGGAGAGTGAGATGGTGCAGTGTAGGAGTAATTTTCCGGCGACGAAAGGATCGGTATCGAGGCCGTTTTTGAGTACATTTGCGTGGATTTGCTTGAGGGACGTTAAGCTTTTGCAACTATTCAACAGAGAAACGCAGAGGGAATGCGAGCTGTTCATTACACACTTTCTCAGTACTACTCCGACATGGCTCTACCTTTTGGTATGAATAGGTCAAGCTAACCTGTGAGAATTTGATTTACTTTATTTATGACTATTTTTTTTTTTCTGAATAGACATTTCTTATTAAGTTGATAAGAAAATACTATAGTAAAAGAAAATGAAGTTATTATATAGTAATTAAAAAACATTGGAGTAAATTCTCATACTAGTTTTTTCAAACGTGAATTCTATGTTGTTTTTATTGCTTAACTTTTGCTCGTTACAAATGAATTTAACTCGTATATATAATTTTTTAATAATTTATATATATAAATATCTATTAATTTATATATATAAATTTTTATTTTTTTGGCTTATCAGATTCGGCAAAGGCCTCGGATGAGGGTGTTTGTACATGAAAACATTCTGGCGTTGGAGTGTGGCGAAACATACTGCAAGCATAGTTAAGTCCAGAGAATCGGAGGTAGATGCGTTCGCAGTGTAGGAGATAATTTTTTCGGCGACGAAAAGGATCTGGTATTCGTGAGGGCCGTTTTAGTTTACATTTGCGTGTGGGATTGCTATGAGGACGCTTTAAGCTTTTGCAAACTATTCAACAGAGAAACGCAAGAAGGGAATGCGAGCTGTCATTCACACACTTTCTTCAGTCACTTACTCCGACATGGCTTCTACCTTTTGGTATGAATTAGGTCAAGCTACCTGTGAGAATTTGATTTACTTTATTTATTGACTATTTTTTTTTCCCTGAATAGACATTTCTTATTTAAGTTGATAAGAAAATACATATAGTAACCAAGAAAATTTGAAGTTCATATATATTAGTAATTACAAAAACATTGGATAAATTCTTCATTACTAGTTTTTTTCGAAACGTTGAATTCTATGTTGTTTTTATTGCTTAACTTTTGCTCCGTTACAACATGGAACTTTAACTCGTATACTATAATTTTTTTAATAATTATTATATTATATAAATATCTATTAACTTCTATATATATAAATTTTTATTTTTATATATATAAATTTTTATTTTTATTTTGTTATAAATGATAATATTATAAACATAAGAAAATCTAATTCAGATATTCTTAACGAGGAGGCTTGCTCAGTATGAAAAGAATTGATTTTAGAAAATAAGCATCTCACAGTGTATGATTTTCTATGTATAAAGCAGTTTAAAATGATATTTTTTTTTATTTAAAACAAAAGAATGTTAATAATTAAAAATATTATTGATATTTTTATAATTCATATAAACTAGTTGTGTATCAGCGCGGATCGTATAAATGTAATTTTCAAGAAAATTATTTTTAATTTACATTTGCGTTGCTTTAATTTAAATAATTTATTTATATACTTTTGATTAAATGATGGAAGGTAAAATAATAGATTCTTTTTTAAATTCTTAAATATTGAACTGAAATATTAATTAGCACAATTAATTATTATAAACAAATTATTGGAAGTGATTGATAGTTATTTTTTCTAAGTTCTATATATTCAAATTAAATGAAGTGTATAAAAATATTTAATCTAATAAAATAGATTTTACTTGAATTGAAAATTAATAATTTTAATTCTAATTTATTTATCTTAATTATACGATTTAATTATTTTTATTAACTAAGATTCTATTATAACTCCATTAAATTTTATAGAATAAAAAAACTATTAATAAAAAGCTTTTAAATTATTATATATTAATTATAATGAAATCTTATTTATAGAATAAAAACTATTTAATAAAAAGCTTTAAATTTATTATATATTAATTATAATGAAATCTTATTAGTTAATTATAACTCTATTATTTAACAAAGAAAATTTAATTTTTATTTACATATACAGGATATTAATTATAATTCAAAAATAAAATATTAATGTTGTTACTTTTATATTCTAACACGATAAATGTTAGAAATTATATATTTTTATGGATAGAAAATAGATTTAGCAGTAATTTCTCCAACAGTAGGGGTGGAATAATAATTGCAGCCAAATTTTAGGGATTTTATGGTAATTTATCTGGAAAATAATTAAGTAAAAATAAATCTTAAAAGGGTTAAAAGCATTACATCTCAACCGTTGGAAAGAAACAAGGACAGCCGTTGGATTTAGGGCTGTCACGCATCACCTACCGCTACCAGCACTTTTTAACATTTCTCCATCTACTAGAGAAAAACCTCTGTGGTCTCGTCGGCATCGTTCAAGAGAGAGAAGCGAAAATGGTGCAGCGTCTCACGTATCGCACACGCCATAGCTACGCCACCAAGTCCAACCAGCACCGTGTCGTCAAAACCCCTGGTATTTCCTCTTCTCATTGCTTTGGTTTAGCCTACACTCAGTGTAAAACCCTAGATCTTAATTTGCTTAACTGCATTGCTTACTTAGTTATTGGATTAGTTAATTTGGTTTAAGGATTCCATATTTGCTCAGTTAGAGTTTTAATAAATGTTGGGAAAATTGGTCCAATGCATGTGAGAAATTTTGATTTGCAAGTTCATCTGATGTTGCTGAAAGAAAATGCATTTCTGCTTATGATTTTTAATAATGAGCTTAATTATTAACCTTTCTTTATTTTCTTCGTTGATGGAGCTAGTCTAACTGATCTCATTTTCATTTTAAGTTTGCTTTGTTGGTTGGTGGCTTTGGCCTTTTTCACTTAACAATTCTGCTTGTATCTCTGGTATTGATTGAAATTTAGGTGGTAAGCTTGTGTATCAGACTACCAAGAAGAGAGCTAGCGGGCCCAAGTGTCCTGTTACTGGAAAGAGAATCCAAGGGGTATGCTTTATGCTCTCTCGTACCTTTTATACATAATCAATTGCTCTCTAGGCCATGCTAGCGTATGAATGCACTCAAACTAATATCTATTTCTGGTTTAAATCTGGATATGATTTGTTTCTAAGAGCTCCATTTTACCCAGATGAGATTGGCCCTGTGAGGTAAAAACATGGAAAATATTGATTCACCTAGTTTTGGTTGGTTGTATGTGTCCATAGTGTTCATATCAAGAGGATGAAGTGAGTTTATGGAGCATTACACAAGATAAAAAATACAGACTTTTTTGCAACAGACTTTATAACCACAGAAATATGAAATGCTGAAGTTGAAGATATTGTGATGTATAGACATTTATAATGACAATCTTACGATTTAGTAGAAAGTAAATGTATGATTGTTATATTGATTGACTGCACTGTGATGGGGTTGTGGTGTTTTTTCATTGCTGATTGATGCAACATGGATAACCCTTACCTTTATAAGACCATCTATTCCAGTTGACAGTTGTGAGTTAAGTTCCTTGGGACAAAACTTGTGGTTTTTCCAGCTATTTTAGATATTGCATGCTTGGCAATTTTTGACTGTTAATTTTGTGACTATTTGTGGTTTTCTTGTTGCTTGGAAACATTTTTGGTTTATGAATTGTAGCTTTCACATTTGCAGTTTCTAATTTAAGGTTAGGTCCAATGGATTTTCATGTTATGCTTTTTTAGTACCCTAGACCCATGAATGACTGCTTAATTTTAGTGCAACAATTACTGCACCCTTCAGTTTTGATATTTGTCTCTTTTTTTTTTTTTTTAAATTTTTATATGCCTCCACCTTGGTCTTAGTCGTCATACTTCATCTGTTGTATTTTCAGATTCCTCACTTGAGGCCTGCTGAATACAAGAGGTCTAGATTATCTCGCAATAGGAGAACTGTGAACCGTCCATATGGTGGTGTATTGTCTGGAGGTGCTGTTAGGGAGAGGTTTGTTTCAATCTCATGATTTTTTCACATAATGTTTTAAATAAATATTAGTAAAAATTAGGTGTATTTGCATCTGTTGCTGAATATGTTTTATTTGGCATATAACTTGTAAGTTCATCTGAACCTTTTCTGTGCTTATGCAGGATAATCCGTGCCTTCTTGGTGGAAGAGCAGAAGATTGTGAAGAAGGTTTTGAAAATTCAAAAGGCAAAGGAAAAGTTATCTTCAAAGAGTTGATCTGATGAAACTATGAAGAATCTGTTTTTCCTTTTTTTTTTTTTTTTTTTTTTTTTTATTGAAACTATGAAGAGATATTGTTTTTTCCTTTTTTTTTTTTTATTTTTTTTTTTTTTTTTTTTTTTTTTTTTTTTTTTTTTCTTTTTTTTTTTTTTTTTTTTGTTTTTTTTTTGTTTTTTTTTTTTTTTTTTTTTTTTTTTTTTTTTTTTTTTTTTTTTTTTTTTTTTTATTTTTTTTTTTTTTTTAATTTAGCACAAGTGAAATTTTGACTCTATGATATGATTTTGATAAGACTCCACATTGTTTGTAAGTTTTTTGCTTCTAACATTTTTTTTTTTTTTTTTTTTTTTTTAATTTGCACAAGTGAAAATTTTGACTCTATGATATGATTTTGATAAGACTTCCACATTGTTGTAAGTTTTTTGTTCTAAACATGAATGACCACTTATCTAGCTCTTTTCTCCTTAGGTAAATTTATCACAACGTTTGGGAATCCCATGTCAATTGGCTATGAGAATTGACTTGATGATAGTGTCGGGCATTTAAAAGCCCGACCAATGTTGGCATGAAACCAGTCCTAGGCTCCTAGCTAGACCTTGGTGTCTCTCATGGTTCTTCTCATATGATCCATAATCTATGTTGTTTTGCCTTGTTTCTCTTACATTTCTCCTAAATCTTAGTCCTTGTTGAAGTGTTACCAGTTAGTATGTTAACAGCGAACTGAAAGTGAAAGCCAAGTCAAAGAGTTACACTTCTATTTGACCGACCTTGTTCATTAAGCTTTAATTATTAGGTCGGACCACAGGATCCTACCATAGTCCTTTACTCCCAACGCCCAACGTGATCTGCATTTTATTAAATCAAACAAATGAAGTACCTAATTTTACCTTGAAGTCAGAGACTTTAAAAATTCATTATCCCATCAAAGTGATCCAATTCACAAGATCAATTATACACATCACAGGATATGAAAAAGGGATAATTATAAATTTAGTTTCTCAACTTTCTGAAATTTTTTATTTTGGTTTCTCAATGAGAAAACATTTGTAATAAGGTGTTTAAATTCCAAAAAAATTTTCAATGGGTGTTTTCCGCTTACGTTTGAGTGTCTCTGGCTTACTTGGCAAGCCGGAAATACAAATAGGACGGCAAGTGACGCTGAGTTGTTCAAACTCAAACCTATTAAAACCAAGAGCAAATCAAGAATTATGTGGTTCAGATTTAATCGAACCTAAGGTGAATCAAACCAAGGTATAAAATCGTCATTTAGGGTTTCAAAGGACCAAATCTCTACTTTCCTCACTGTTTCACAATTGCAGCGCCGTCGCCTTCCCTTTCCTCTTTTTTTCCGGCGATGGCAGTGGGGTGCGGTGATTTTTGGACGAACCACCTCTCATGAAAGAAGGGAAGAGATCGTTCGTTCTGCTTGAGAGAGAGGTGAGATCATTTTTTTTCTGATTTTCGCTGTTGTTATAGAACCACCTCTCCTGCGATGAAAATCGTGATGTCCATTGTCGAAGCCATACAGATTACAAGCAACCATACTTTTGGGCGGAAATCTCAGCGGAAGCACAAACAAAGACATCTTGTTTCGGCAGCAAATATATTGAATTCCAAATTTGCATCTTGAATGTTTTCCTTGCGTGACTTCTCATTGGGAGCCTCTTGCCTGTATCTAAACATAATTTTTTTTTAAAAAAAAAGCTTACATATTGTTTGGTAATAATTTCTCATTGGGCTTCTGCTTGAGCTTCTTCTTCCTCTTCTTTCTCTACTTCATCTGCCTATGCTGAATGTACTTGAAGATCCAGCTTGCTTTCGCTTTCCACCATTCCAGAGTTTTTTAGAGAGAGAAATTTCTTAGAATTTAATGGTCTCTCTTCACCGCAACTCTCTTCACGAGGACGACTCATTTTTGGCTTTCTGATTCTGTGACAGTGAGCTGAGGGTAGTGAGAGGATGGTAGCCGTAGGATCAAACCAAATCCGTTGACCTCTTGGGCAAAATATCCACGTCAAACAGCAAAACATCCGTGTCAGCAAAAAAGTCTACACAATATCTTTATTCAATTTGTATTTCTGGCTTGCCACGTGAGACATTCAATTGAAAATTTTTTTAGTTGATTATAAACGTTTTCTATTTAAATATTAAAATAGAAAATTTTTAAAAATTAAGACATTAAATTTATAATCAACCCTGTGAAAAATGATGTTCTTTCCATCCATCCATCGAAATTTGATTTGATGTAGATTAGTAGGATTGAAGAGAATATTCCATTTGATATTGGGTGTGATCGACTTTATGATTAAATTTAAGGGCAATGACTTTACAAGCAGTAATTGGTGGATGAACTTGATCAACAATAAATGCGGATTAAAGGGTTTTTAACAACATAGGAAGTTCCAAATGTCCTTTATGAGTTTTAAAGACAGAACTAGATTCTACCTCTCCCTTCGTTCTCTATTCCTTCCTTTTACGCTTTCCCTCCTAACTGCATGAATGAATAAAGATGACTTCCGTTTCCATGTTTGAACATACATAATATGTATCAAGAAGCAGAAGCGGATGGTTTAAGATGTTATTTTTGTCTCAAAAGCTGCATAAAGGCCACCGGCTTTTCTGGCTCTATTAACTTAGAGCAAAAAGATAATAATATTAATGAGAAAAAATTAATTTTGTGTCAAGAATGGGATTCGAACCCATGCCCTTTCGGACCAGTACCTGAAACTGGCGCCTTAGACCAACTCGGCCATCTTGACAAGGTGCTAACTCTCTGGAACGTTTGTGATTTGTATAATACGAGGTTCACTCAAAGCCATTTCAATGAACTTCCCGCGCTTTTCAAACGGCCATTATCGAAATGCTTCATCGCTGTTCAGAGTCGCCTCTCCATTAGGACCCAACCAAATGAATTCTGTTATCAGTCACAATCTCCAACCCAAGCTAATCCCCATCTCCATTTCCAAACTCATATCTTCACTATCTGTAATCGAAAGGCCATCATTTGTTAGAGCCGACCAATATGAACAGGAAGATCCTGCTCCTTTCCTTGACCCCTTCCACCACTTCAGCAAGTACACAAAATCCAGGCAACATACTGTCAAAGACACAAAAATTATCCATACCCATTTGCTTAAAACAGCTTTATTGCACTCTGATATTGTCGTTGCTAACTCTTTACTCGATTGGTACTGCAAATCCGGCGCCACGTTTTATGCCCTGAAACTGTTTGATGAAATTCCTCAATTAAATGTTATTTCTTGGAACCTTATAATTTCTGGTTATGTTCGTAATATGTTGTTTGAGGATTCGTGGAGATTTTTTTGTAGGATGCATTTTTTTGGTTATAAGCCGAATGATATCACCTATGGCAGTGTACTGTCTGCTTGTGCTGCTTTGCAAGCTCCTATTTTTGGCGAGCAGGTGTACGCACTTGCAATTAGAAATGGATTTTATTCAAATGGTTACGTTCGGGCAGGAATGATAGATTTATTTGCAAAAAATAATAGGTTTGACTATGCTTTGAAGGTGTTTTATGATGTATTGTGCGAGAATGTGGTTTGTTGGAATTCTATCATCTCTGGGGCAGTTAAGAATGGGGAAAATTTGGTTGCTTTAGATCTTTTTGGTCAAATGTGTCGCAGATTTCTGCTTCCAGATAGTTATACCTTCTCAAGTGTTTTGACTGCATGTGCTACTCTGGAACAGATTGAAATTGGGAAAGGAGTTCAAGGGTGGGTGATTAAATGTTGTGCAAAAGACGTCTTTGTGGAGACTGCCATAGTTGATATGTATTCCAAATGTGGTGATATTAATGAAGCTGTCAAGAAATTTTCTCGGATGCCAGTTCGCAATGTAGTTTCATGGACTGCCATTATATCTGGTTTAGTTAAGAGGGGTGATTTTATGTCTGCCCTCAAATTTTTCAAAGAAATGAGGAAAATGGAGGAGGAAACAAACAACTTTACTATTACCAGTGTAATCACTGCTTGCGCCAGACCAAATATGATTAAAGAGGCATTCCAAATCCATAACTGGATTTTGAAGACTGGATTCTCTTTGGATCCAGTGGTGGGGGCTGCTTTAGTTAATATGTATGCAAAAGCACATGCTATTGATTTGTCCGAGATGGTGTTTAGAGAAATGGAAGGCCTAAAGGACCCACGTATATGGGCCATTATGATTTCTTCTTTCGCTCAGAATCAGAGCTCTCAAAGGGCGATAGGTCTATTGCAACGAATGCTACAGGAGGGTCTGAGACCAGACAAATTTTGTTTTTCCAGTGTCTTCAGTGCTATAGATTGCTTGAATTTAGGGAGGCAAATCCACTGCTATACTGTTAAAATAGGTCTTGACCTTGATCTTTCTGTTGGTAGTTCTCTTTTCACAATGTACTCAAAGTGCGGTAACATAGAGGACTCTTACAAAGTCTTTGAGCGTATTCCTATCAGAGACAACATTTCATGTGCGTCAATGATCAGCGGGTTCACAGAGCATGGCTATGAAGATCATGCTTTTGAGCTTTTTAGAGATATGTTGTCCAAACTAAGACCTGATCAAATGACTCTTACTGCAATTCTAAGTGCATGTTCTGGTCTTCATTCTGTAAAGAAAGGTAAGGAAATTCATGGGTATGCTTTCCGTGGTGGAATGGGTACAGAAGCACTGGTTGGTGGTGGGCTTGTCAATATGTATTCAAAATGTGGTGCTCTGGAATCAGCAAGAAAAGTCTTTGACATGCTTCCTGAAAAAGATCCGGTTTCATGTTCTTCCCTGATTTCAGGATATGCACAAAACGGGAGACTTGAAGAGGCAATATTTCTGTTTCATGAAATGTTAATGTCCAATATCACGACTGACTCATTCACCATTTCACCTCTTCTTGGAGCTATTGCACTTATGAACAGATTGGACATTGGGACTCAGCTGCATGCGCATATCACAAAAATGGGTTTAGATTCAGATGTTTCAGTTGGAAGTTCACTTGTTACAATGTATTCTAAATGTGGAAGCATAGAAGAATGCAGTAAAGCATTTGATCAGATTGAGGAACTTGACTTGGTAAGCTGGACAGCTATGATTGCTAGCTATGCTCAGCATGGAAAAGGTGCAGAGGCTTTAAAAATCTATGAGCAGATGGGGAGAAGAGGGATTAGACCCGATTCAGTGACTTTTGTTGGGATTCTCTCTGCCTGCAGCCGTGCCAATTTGGTTGAAGAAGGCTATTTCCATTTTCATGCAATGAAGAAAGACTTTGGGATTGAGCCTACTAACCGTCACTATGCTTGTATGGTTGATCTTCTTGGTCGTTCAGGACAATTGAAAGAGGCTGAGAAGTTCATTAGAAGTATGCCTATCGACCCTGATGTTTTAGTTTGGGCAACACTGCTTGCTGCTTGCAAAATACATGGAGACGTGGAACTTGGAAAGATAGCAGCAAAAAGGGTCATGGAATTAAACCCTAATGATGATGGAGCTTATGTCTCGTTGTCAAATATCTGTGCAGATAGAGGCCAGTGGGAGGAAGTCCTACAGATCAGAAACCTAATGAAAGGCACAGGGGTGAGGAAGGAAGCTGCTTGGAGTTTCATGTGGAACACAAATTTGCCTCCTTTTCCTTAAATAATTAATTAGCTTCAACTGGATCCTCACTCGCAACTTCAGAGTCCTGGAAATAACTCCTCCAGCACCTCATAGATCCTCACTCGCAACCTCAGAGTCCTGGGAATAACTCCTCCAGCACCTCATTAGTCAAGTATGCCTCCTTTAGTAAAACTTAATGGAGAATGTCCTTTCTTGTCCACTTAAGTTCCTCTTGCAAGACACCCTATGTTGGAAAAGGTTGGGCAAAATATGGCATTGGCCCCATCAGAGCAAGACTCTGGGTAACCAAAGTGAACAAGCCCACAGCGAGAGTTGGTTAAATAACAGCTTCAGCACAAGTTACTCAATATTGATAAGAAAAAATTGAATCATTTTAATAAACTTCATAACTCAAAGGATTGTATTCTTTTTTCTTTGACAAAATGATAGCCTTCAGTACAGAATATACATTTGCTGCTGAAAAATTACAACAATTTTTTGGTGTACTAGCAATTTCTTTCAACTATTGTTCTAGCAAGCTATAAGCAGTTCTAGGAAATATTCGCACACCGGACTTCCTACATGATTACTTTCATAGCATTTGAATTTCCTACATGTTGCTTTGTGTACTTGGTACATGATACTTTCACAGCAGTAGTCTGACAAGCACAAGTGAATGATTCACAAAAACTAAAAATATTAAATCTGCAAACAGGTGAAGATACTCTGATAACATTTAAGTATCTTATTGCAATAAACATTACACTGTAATTTAGGCTCAACCATGTGCAGGCCCCTAGAAATTTCGACTACACAGTTTAGTAGCTAACTTTAAGGATAAAGTAAGAAGGATAGTTGATCTGAAAAGCACATCTGAATGCACCGTCCCTATACAAATTAGAGATCAACTTCAGAGTGTATATTATTTTAGTTTACATCACGAGATCTGGAATTATGATCTGAAACAACTTAGGGATCTATCCATAAGGGAAACAGATTTCATCAAAACTATCAAATTTGAGTATGGACTGAACGAGTTAACATAGAAATTGAGGTTGACGTATTCATTTCCAACTACTGCTTCATACATCACGCCCTCTTTTTTTTTTTTTTTTTTTTTTTTTTTTTTTTTTTTTGATCTATCCAAAGGGAAACAGATTTTCATCCAAAAACTAATCGCAAAATTTGAGTATGGGACTGAACGAGTTAACATAGGAAATTGATGTTGAACCGTATTCCATTTCCCACTACTGCTTCATACATCACAGCCCTCGTTTTTTTTTTTTTTTTTTTTCTTTTTTTTTTTTTTTTTCTTTTTTTTTTTATTTTGAATTAATCAGTGTGGCTGGTTAATCATCTCTTGTGACAGGTTGTGGCTGGTACTTGAACATTTGAACCTCCAGAAGGGATAATCCAGCAACAAGTCCCTGAACATTGGAAAACAGAAACTGAATGGCAGGGTAAGTTTGCATAGACCGAATTTAATTTTTCAGACAAGGAAAACTAAAATAGCAATGGAATAATAATGGTAAATGCACTAATCATCCATACTTACCATACAACCCCTGAATATACATATGAAAAAGAGCTGCCAGTTCCAGACAATAGTTGAGGCTTAAACATAATTTGCCTAAGAGCCATGACAAACACTGGTAAAATCTCCTAGTACAGTGCTGAGGGCCTATGATGCCATGGTCAATAAAATTTTGCCCGCATAAAGCTGAAGGTTTGCCAATGTTAATAAACTGAATATAACTGCATTGCAAAATATCAAAGACCCATCTTCATAGTGCCACACCATCTTGTCCAGTCACTGATTTTATAAAGTGGGCTTTTTTTTTTTTTTTTTTTTTTTTTTTTTTTTTTTTTTTGAGATAATCAGTGTGCTGGTTAACTCTCTTGTGACAGGTGTGCTGGTAACTTGAACATTTGAACCTCCAGAAGGATAATCCAGCAACAAGTCCCTGACATTGGAAAACAGAACTGATGGAGGGTAAGTTGCATGAACGATTAATTTTCAGACAAGGAAAACTAAAATAGCAAGGATAATATGGTAAATGCACTACATCCATACTTACCATAAACCCTGATATAATATGAAAGAGCTGCCAGTTCCAGACATAGTTGAGCTTAAACATAATTTGCCTAGAGCCATGACAAAACTACCTGGTAAAATCTCCTAGTACATGCTGAGGGCCTATGATGCCATGGCAATAAATTGCCCAGCCATAAAGCTGAAGGTTGCCAATTGTATAAACTGATATACTGCATTGCAATATCAAAGACCATCTTCATAGTGCAACCATCTTGTCCAGTCACTGATTTTATAAAGTGGCTCACATAGTACAACGTATCTAGTAAACAACTCATAAACAATAAGACATTTGGCAGGTTAACTGTTTCATCAACCAAGCTCAATCCTGAAAAACAACCACATCACTAATTAAGCAAATATACAGCACTTAAAGAGAGTATTAAAAAAAAAAAAAGTGAGTCCATACTACCATTGCTTTAAGCAGCAAATTACTTCAGCTACCGCTGGACCTGCTAACTAGTTTGTTTAATCTTTGACTTTCCTCACAAACTAATGTACAAGATTCCACTTACAGATTAAGAATATGATTCACCAATCAAGCTAACATCTTCTTGGCAGCCTTTTTATGTTGAAGCTTCTTATCTCTAATACCATCATAAAGAAGTTCGTAAGCATAATAAGTTATATGACTTTTCTTCAACAAGTCTTCCAAGATAATCTTAGGTGCTGCAACCACCTTTTTATCAGCCTCAAAGATAGTATCCACAACCTCAGGGACAATTCCATGTTCCACCATCAGATGGATGATACCAACTGCTTCATGAACTCTATGCTGAATGCTGAGACAGTTTATTACTCGTCCAAATGTTGTCAGTGACGGAACGAACCCTTTTTTAATCTCTTCCAATAGAAAATTATATCCAGAATCGACATCTCCTGTTTTGCAGAAGCCATCAATCATGATACGATAAGTATAGCTGTCTGGGGCACAGCCTTTATATCCCATCTCATGAAAAAGCTTTTCCGCCATATGCATATCTAGCTGTTCAGAGAAGGCATTAATCATGATATTGTAGGTGGCTACAGAGTAACAAACCTTGTATTGTTGTTCCATTCTTCTAAAGACCCGGTAGGCTCCTTCCAAATCCCCATTATTGCATAAACCACTCATCACTGTGCCAAAACTAACAGTATCTGGAGTCAGTCCCTTATTTCTTATTTCTTCCACCAAGTCTAGAGCATCATTCACCTTCCGAGCTTTACATAGGCTCTCTATGAGTATATTATAAGTGATTAAGTTAGGAACACACCTCTTCTCCATCATCAGCTTGAAGGTTTCCATTACATCTTCAGGTTTTGCAGCCTTGCAGAGGCCATTCAATACAGAGTTATATGTGATTATATCAGGGGTGACACCATGACTCCACATGCTATTTAGAATCTCAATTGCATTTTCCATTTTCCGTTGTTTACAGTAACCATCGATCAGTGTATTGAAAGTAAAAATGTCTGGAATGTATCCTTTGGCAATAGCGCCATTCATCAGGTTGTTGGCATCAGACATACATCCCATCTTGCACAAACCATTTATGACCAAATTGAAAGTCCATATGTCAGGGTTACTACCTTTCTTTGGCATGTTATTCATCAGCTGCAATGCTTCTAAAACAAGTCCATGCTGAGACAATCCTTTGATTAGTGTGTTATATAGAACAATGCTAGGCTTTAATCCTTTCCCCAATGCCTCATCAAAAAGAGCTAGGGCACGCTCTATGTCACCGTGCTGGCATAATCCATTAATTAGAGCACAATATGTGAACTCATCAGGCACAAATCCCTTGAAAATTGCATCATTGAGAATCTTATCAGCATCTTGTACCATACCCATTTTGCAAAATCCATCAATTATAGTATTGTAAGTGAAGCAATCAGGCTGTAAGCCTTTGTTCACCATTTTATGCAGATAGTTCTCAGCTTCCACAACCTTGGAGTTCTTGCACAATCCACAGATTAATGTGTTGTATGTGACAACATCAGGAGTTAGGCCTTCTCTAGTCACACTATCCAACAATTTGACAGCCTGATCAAGTGCCCCTTTTCTGCAAAACCCTTGGATGAAGATATTAAATGTAAACAAATTAGGAGATCCTCCCTTCTTCAGAACCTTGTTGAGCAGTTTCTCACTTTCTTGGACATGTCCCTTCTTGCAAAGAATATGAATAAGCTTGTTAAATGTGGCAGTATCTGGAAAAATACCTAAACCAAGCATCGTATGAAACAATTCATATGCCTCAACTTGATAGTTCTCTTCATAAAACCCACCAATCACCGTACAATATGCAACTGCGTTAAGCTCACACCCATGAGAAGGCATGTTGCTAAGAAGTCTTAAAGCCGCATGAGGCCTTTTTGTCCTACAAAACGACTTTATCCTAATTGTGAATGTGTAAACATCAGGAACAATTCCTTTATCTTTCATTCTCAAATACACTTTATGAGCTTGATTGAAATACCCATGCTCAACCAATATATTCATGATTGCATTATATGATAAAACTGATGGCTCACAGCTGTAAAAGTCCATTCTCTCAAATACATCAACAGCTTCTTGAACCTTCCCTTTCCTCCCATAGTTTCTCATGGCTAAGATGTACACCCCTTCCAACAAACTATTATCAATATTAATCCTCATGTCCATAAGTACACTCTCCATTGCCTCGAACTGACCATGAAAGCCAAGCTTTTCAATGATGCACTTATAAGTTAACAATGTGTGCTTGAATCCATCTTCTTTCTTCACAGAATTGAAGATTTCAAGTGCTTTTAATGGTTCCTTTTGGTATTTGAGGACAGCAGCTACATTTTTAGGGAGCAAAGCTGGTTTCATCCCAATAATTACAAGAAGCTAATTGATTGTTACATCAAAACCCATAAGCCAATTGATTCAAGAATCAAAGTAACCTTTTCTTTGCCTGCTTCAAGCTTCTATTGTCCTAAAAAGCCACAAAAATAACCAATTTAAACAGAATCATTCAGATGCCAAGTGAATAGCTGGCTAAAAAAAATATTTCACGAACTTCGGCCTACTTTGCCTTGAAAATCAAACACATAAGAAAGCAAAAACTCAAGATTTTTTCTTTAGGTTTTCCCATTTAGCCAAACAGTGACAGAGAACCACTCACTATAGTAATTGTGAAACGATAGGACCAGAACTCGATTGTCAGAAATGTATTACCCGTAATATTGAAAGAGAGACTGCAGTGCCAGTCGCGCACCAGGCCCTATTTCTTGAAACGGTGCCGTTGACAGGATGACGTTGTCCGTTAGGGTTTTGAACAAGATTTATCATTGCTGAGAAAGTGAAGAGAGCGCTGGTGAAGAAGGAAAGAGATGACGAAACGACAGCTCCTTTATGAAATGTAATAAACGACACAAGCAAGTATGTGTAATGTTCGTTATTTCGTTGGTGTCGTTTGTCAGATTCACGTCATATAATTACAATCTAGGTACATTTAAGTTGTAAAAATAAAATAAGTAATCACAGTTTCTAAGCCAAAATCTTGTCCATTCTTAAGCGGCTTCCAGAGGGAGAGAGAATGGAGTCGCCAGGAAAGTGGCTAGAGAATGCACTAGTTGATTTGTGCAAGAGAATAGAAACAGGTTTAGATTTGGATAGGGAAATAATCTCCGGTTTAGTTTCTTATTGCGAGCTCGCTCAGCCCCTTGATGCCAAAGAATATCTCGATGTAATCTCTCTTTTTCTTGCTTGCTCTCTCTATTTTATGCTGTTCTATTAGAGCTTAAATTTTAAACTTTGATTCTAGTTGATGGATTTGGGGCATTGATTTTGTTTGTCTGCTTGATGTATCAGTACGTTAAAGATTTTGATTACATAGTATTAGTGACTAATTTTGGGTTTGATGGCCAGTAATTGGCATTTTTATTCATGTGATTGCCCATTATTTGATGCCTATGAAAGGAAAAGCTGAAGAGAGTTAGTTGTTGGTGATTTTAGAATAATATAACTGGGTAGGTTTTGTTTCTTCAGATTTGAGATATGACATTATTGAACATCAGTACTATTATAGTTGGCTTGTAAAGAACTGTTCTGTTTGGGCACAAACAAGCTGTCGCACAATTTCTCATTTTCGCTGTCATATATTTACCATTTTTTGTCTTGTAATCTTCCAACTGATTTTCCTCACACATTCCACCAAAGGAAAAAAAAGAGTTTTGGGGCTACTTACATCATTTCCTGAGTTGATAAATGGATGCCCATTAACTATTTTGCCTAATTGTGAACACATTAGCAGATCAAAAAGGGAAGGGCATATAGGAAATTAGTTGTTTTAATTAGGAAGTATTGTATTGATTGAATTTCTTGATCCATGACGTGCCAATAATAGAGTTGGCATTTCAGGGTTGGCAATGCCAGAAGAATGTTCTCTTGCAGCACATTTTGGAAGTTTTATAGATCTTGTTTTGTCTCTGTTTGCAGAATATCATTGGGCAAGAGGCTGGAAAAAGTGTGATTGAGGAATATTTACGGCGTAGAGGTCACTCAGATCTTGGCAGTGGGACACCAGCTGTTCAAACTTCAAAATTTCATACCTATGTCAAACCATCGAGTGACAATAGTTCTATTGGTGGAGCCAGGAAACCACTTAGATCAGCTAAAGACACAGTATCCAGTTATCAAGCTGAACCTAGAAAAGTTACAGTTTCCAATTATCAGGCAGAACCAAAAAAGAATTCTACTTCCAGTTACCAAGGGAACAAGGTTTCAACAGAGGCAAGCGAGTCCAGCCAAAAGGGAAACCAAGGTAATTCTAGAAAGAAGAAAACTGGGAAAGTCATTTCACTTGCAGAGGCTGCTAAGGGGTCAATTGTATTCCAACAGGGGAAACCATGTTTGTGCCAAGCCCGTCGGCACAGACTGGTGAGCAACTGTTTATCTTGTGGCAAGATAGTTTGTGAACAGGAAGGAGAGGGGCCGTGCTGTTTCTGCGGTGCCCTTGTGCTAAAGGAAGGGAGCAGCTATGCTGGTCTGGAAGGCAGTTTGGCTCCACTATCAGATGCTGAAGCAGCAGCTGAAGCTTATGCAAAAAGGCTTGTTGAATATGACAGAAATGCTGCGGCACGTACAACTGTTATTGATGACCAAAGTGATTACTATGAGATTGAGGGAAATAGCTGGCTGTCAAAGGAGGTAACAAAGTCGTTGAAACATAATGATCGTAATCTCGCAGTTGTATCACAAACTTGTGTTGTATCATGTGCTTGTGTTCACTTTTTGTTGTTTCTAACAAAAAATTTCCAGGAAAAGGAACTTCTAAGGAAGAAAAAAGAGGAGATAGAAGAAGCTGAAAAGGCAAAGCGAAATAAAGTGGTTGTGACTTTTGACTTGGTTGGTCGCAAGGTATCTATTTTAACGTAATCTTGTTCTATCGTTCCAAATCGTTCTGTTCATTATGTATGTCCTACGACATGTACTCAAGTAACTTTTCCCACGAAACTACTTCATTTTTTTACAGACATATTGAACTAGAAGGCCAGATGGAATTTACTAACTTTATTTAGCTATTGAACTACAAATCCAGTACCAACATTTCTATTTATTGTGCCTCAAGCATGTATAACTCGCATGGATTTTCCGCATGTAAATTTAGCTTTGAAAACAGTATCAAAGTACCTTCATAAATTAATGAATGCAAGCCATTCCGTTATTGACATCCTTCCTTCACTTGAAGGATGCCTGAGCAGTTCTTTTCTTTCTTTTTTCCCCTCTCAATCACTGTGGTTGTAGATCTTAAGAAGCGCCTTTTATTTTCTGGCCACAAGTATTCTAATGCTTTAATATTGTTCTTTGCCTCATGATTTCATTTTATATTTATTGAGTGGACAATTATACTTTCCCGCTTTTGTTGGCATTTTGCTTGTCCTATTTTACAGTATTATTCCTTGCAAATTACAGGTCTTGGTAAACCAAGATGAAGTTTCAGAAATAGAGTCAGAAAACAGGATATTGAGACCACCAGATGAAAGAGAAAGAGAAGTGAACCGAATTAGACCAAACCCAAATCTTAGAATACAACCTATCTTTATGGATCCCGGCCCTAGTAAAAAACCTGTTAAGGGTAAGCAACCAGACAAGAGCCTTCCCAATGCATTATGCTTGGAAGTCACTGGAAGGGTGCAACATGATAGTAATGAATTGAAATATTCTATGATTGGCAACCAATGGGAAACAGCCCTCAAAACGGGCAAGGTCCATCAGTGAACTGCTGCAAAATGATATTGTTTTACCATTTTTGACATACAAGAAATTTGGCTATTTTCTCTTTTTTATAGTAATTACTTGTAACAAATTACTGCCATATTCTCTTCTCCCAAGTATTGGCTCTTATGAAATATTCGAATGTTAAGCAGTCTATTATAATATTACATTGTCTGCGTAATCACGAGATTGAAAATATGAAGGATTCAGAATCATCAGTTGAGATGAGATACGTGTAAAACCTTTCATAGTCTCATTCATTTGGTTGTTCATAGTTCATAATTTCTTCAAGTTCATTTTGTACTAGTTAAAATTACTCAAAATTTAAGGTTATACTTATAGGCTCTTTGGGACCCCTCAATCTGTTAATTCTGAAATACAGCTTTTTCCTGGAACTTTTGAAGGTTTTTGAGCTATCACTGTGCTTCTTTCATGAAGAACATCATTCCATCTCCCTGTCTCAGCAAAAATGATAGAAGAAATAACATGATCTTCAATTTTAGGTGACTTCTTCACTCCTACTAGGCTACTAACCAAACATAACCCTAAATCAAAATCACCATGTACTCTGCAAGCATTAATCATCATTCTCCAAATAACTGTGTTCGGCTCAACTGGCATTTTCTTCACAAACTTATTCGCCTCGTCTAGCATTCCTGCTCGAGCAAGCATGTCAATCATGCAACCGCAGTGCTCAATCTGTGGCTCAATATTGTAAACCTTGCACATCGTATCATACAAGTTTTGACCTTCTTCAACTAGACCAGAATGATCGCATGCCAATAGAACAGCAATGAATGTGACAGAGTTAGGTTCAACTTTCTCTGCACACATTTTCCTAAAAGCATGAAGGGCTTCCTCCCCTTCTCCGTTGATGGCATGACCTACTATTATCGATGTCCATGAGATTACGTCCTTTACAAGCATTTTATCGAATACAGATTTAGCTCGAGCCATGTTCCCACATTTTGCATACATATCTACAAGAGCATTTTGCAGAACATTGCTCCTACTGAGATTATCATTTCTCATAATATATGAATGAATATCAATGCAAAGAGACAATTCTCCAGAATTCCGGCAAGCAGAGATTATTCCTAGCATTGTTACATCATCTGCCTCTACCTTGCTACATTTCATCAAATTAAAGAGCCTTAGAGCTTCACTATTAAGCCCGCATTCAACATAACCATGTATAATCGAGTTCCATGATGCAATATTCTTATCCGGCAACTCCTCAAAAACTTTCCTGGCAAATTTGATCGAACCACATCTCGAATACATGTTAATAAGAACAGTCCCAAGAGAAACTGGTATCTCTTCTACACTTGCTATTATATGTACATGAACCATCTTCCCTGAATCAAGATCTCCACCATTAGCACAAGCCAAAATCAAGTTAACAAATGACACAATATCATATCCAATGTCCTTATATCTCATTTCTCTAAATAAAGAGAGAGCTTTACTACAGTTATTACTTCTAGCAAATCCTGCAATCATGGTATTCCATGAAACCAAGTCCTTCTCAACCATTTCGTTGAACAGTTTAGTTGCAATATCCAAATATCCATTTTTGCAATAAAAATCGATAAGTGTATTACAAACTTCAATTCTCAAATCCATACCTGTCTTGCAACAGTAAGAATGAAGCAATCTCCCAATGCTGTATCCCCCGTTTTCAACACACCCAGAAATCAAAACCATTAGAGTAACAAAGTTTGGCTTCATACTCAGACCAAAAGCACCAGTAAGGACTTTCTTGAATAAGCTCAAACCAAAATCAAATTGGTTATTCTTCAGAAACCCAGAAACCATACTATTAACAGTAACAACCGTTCTGTCAGGCATTTTATCGAACAAGACACGAGCATACTTCACTGACCCATTTACACTCGCATAATAATGAATCAAACTATTCAAAACATTCAAGTTATAATCCAACGCAAGCTTAACTACGCGGCTATGTATTGATTTCCCTTCATTAATACCCAAAACCTTATTGCAAGCTTTTATCAAAGAAGCATACACAAAAGGATCAGTAACTGGGTCGTTCTCTTTCCCTATTTGCATGGCTTTGAACAAAGAGATGACCCTAAATGGGTCATTTTGCAAATCAAATTGGCGAAGCATAGCACGCCAAGCCGCCATAAATGTTAAAAGGGTTTCATCCGGTGCTGGTCATGGTTTGTGTGGCCAGATAAACTGCAGAAGTGCAGATTAAACAACCATCGCAGGATAGAGGTTGCATTGGAATTTTTGAATATCAAGGTGGAGATGGCCGAGTTGGTCTAAGGCGCCAGATTAAGGTTCTGGTCCGAAAGGGCGTGGGTTCAAATCCCACTCTCCACATAATATTCATTTATATTTATTTTTTTAATAAATACACTGAATTATACTTTTTTTTTTTTCTTAGTTACTTTTTAAATTTTGGTCACACTTCCAAATCATAATTTTTTTTCCCAATTTTTCTTATAATTATTTTTCATATCTATTCTACAATTACAACTTCAAATAGGTTAATGTATAAGACAATTAACATGTTTTAAGCCAAATCACTATGCACTTCATGCAATTTATTATAGTATAATTTTAATATTATTCTTTGGTTAATATTTGGCTTATATGTTCAAACAATAGTCACTTTTAGGAAACTCAAGTAACAAGATAAACATTTTGAAGAATTTCATTTAACAAGTATATTGATTCTTTTGATAAAAAAAAACTAAATTAAATATGATTAGTTCACGAAGTTAAACATATAGAGTGAAATGCCAAATCAAAATTTTGAAAAAGGATAAGCTACATCCTACTTAAAATAGATTATCTTGATTAATTAAATAAATAACATACTATATATAATCTTGACAATTTCGAAATGAAGTGGTACTTTATATAATTTATAAACTTCTTTTCTTTTATAAATGATATGAAATTCTGAAGAATCAACCTATTTTCCGGTATATGAATATAATATTTACATAATATGATATAAGTTTTTTTTTTTTTTTTTGGAAAAATAAGGAAACCTCAAGTAACAAAGATAAACATTTTGAAGAATTTCATTTAACAAGTATATTGATTCTTTTGATTAAAAATAAAAACTAAAATTAAATAATGAAATTAGTTCACGAAGTTGAAACATAATAGAGTGAAAATGCCAGAATCAAAAATTTTGAAAAAAAGGATAAGCTACAACATCCTACTAAATAAGATTTATCTTTTGATTAATTAAATAAAATAAACATACTATATATAATCTTGAACAATTTTCCGAAATGAAGGTTGGTACTTTATATTAAATTTATAAAACTTCTTTCTTTTATAAAATGATATGAAATTCTGAAGAATCAACCTATTTTCCCCGGTATATGAAATAATATATTTAACATAATATGAATATAGTTTTTTTTTTTTTTTTTTTGGAAAAATGAAGAAAATACACAATGGGTAACACAATAGAAAAAAAAAAAAGTAAAGAATTCAATTCTCCTCATGACCCTCCTTGCTGAAAGTTCGTTATGGTCGGCATCCTTCAAATCTTGCGGCCAGACATTCCTTATATTTTTTTTTTTTTTTTTGGAAAAATAAGAAATACACAATGGGTACACAATAGAAAAAAAAAAAAAGTAAAAATTCAATTCTCTCATGACCTCCTTTGAAGCTTCGTTATGGTCGCATCCTTCAATCTTGCCGGCCAGACATTCTTATCTGTCTCCATGAAAACGAGACAATCTTAAATTATTTTACAATTAATAATAAATTATTAATACTGAATGACGTAAACAAGCACTCTTTATACTTCTTTTATTTAATTTGATTCACCAAATAAATTCTAAATTTAATTTAATTTAAACAAAATATAGAAATATAAAATGAAGAAGGAAGTACTTATCAGTGTAGCAGCAGCTGTCGACGACAGACCTTTTTGTAGGAATTAGGTGGCGGGTTCCGATTGGATACGACATAATCTAACAAAACTGTAAGTCAGACTCTGAAGAAAGAAGAAAAGATTGTATTCGGTATTCCTATATGATTCTACAAATTCCAATCTAACAATTATAATTAAACTCTCCCCCATTCTGCAATTCCAATGACTATTTTCATCTGATTGCCCCTCGTGCGCGACGTCCTTCCTTGATTTCTTTGCCTGTAAGATTATCTTTCTGATCGTTTGATTAGGGATTGTTCATTCAATCTCTTGATTTTAGGTTTAATGTTTAGCGACTCCATCACATTTTCCTTTTTTCTTTTTTCACCTTGTAATTTTATTTTTTAGACCAACTTTGGTGTTCTTTGATCTTTTACGAATTACTCATCGAGAAATTTAAGATAATGTAACAATTTAATCATGGTTGATTGATTGAAGTCATGTAAGTTGATGAAGAGGATTGAAAGGCTATCGTTGAATTGTCTTGTTTTTATTTCTTGGAAAGTTTGGTTTTTGAGGCTGAACTTTTATTCTATGTGGAGATTGGCAGTAATAACATATTGTACAGTCTCTTTCAATTCCTTATGGATATTCGTTTATTGTTTTGTATCATTTCTTTTACTTTGGTTTGATTTGGATTAATTGAATTCGATCACAATTCACTTGCATTCTTCGTACAGAAAATTCGCAATTGAATTTTGTGATTGAATTTGCAGTTTTCATGTATAATAAAGGAGGTGAGGCAACGGAAAAAGCACTAGAAAGCACATTTAGAGTGCAGGATGGCCACAAAAGGGAACTCAGGAGACCATAAAACAAGGAGCTCTGTATCAATTTTTATTGTGGTTGGTTTATGCGGTTTCTTCTATATATTGGGTGCGTGGCAGCGAAGTGGCTTTGGAAAGGGTGATAGCATAGCATGGGTGATCACCAAACAGACACACTGTAGCATCCTCAACAATTTGAATTATCAGACAAGTGGTGATGCAGGAATAGTTGATAGTTCCGGAGAAGAAGTACAGGAGATTAAGCCATGTGATGACAAGTATATTGACTACACGCCTTGCCAAGATCAAATGAGAGCAATGACATTTCCTCGAGAAAATATGAATTATCGGGAACGGCATTGTCCGCCTGAAGAGGAGAAGCTGCACTGCCTTGTTCCAGCGCCCAAAGGATACGCAAACCCGTTTCCATGGCCAAAGAGCCGTGATTATGTACCCTATGCAAATGCACCTTACAAGAGCTTGACAGTTGAGAAGGCTGTTCAGAATTGGATACAATATGTGGGTAATGTGTTTAGATTTCCTGGTGGAGGAACACAGTTTCCTCACGGGGCAGATGCATATATCAATGAACTTGCAGCTGTGATCCCCATGGACAATGGGTTGGTTAGAACTGCTCTAGATACTGGATGTGGGGTAAGTAATTGTACAAGAGTTTCTCTGTTCTCATTTTCTGAGTTGTCCTAATTCAGTTTTTTTCCTAGTCCTTTTTGCTTTAATTGTCATTTGATTTTTTGCCTTGAGTGGCGCTCAGGTTGCAAGTTGGGGTGCATATCTTTTCAAGAAGAATGTTATAGCCATGTCATTTGCTCCAAGAGACTCTCACGAAGCACAAGTTCAATTTGCACTGGAAAGAGGTGTTCCAGCTGTTATTGGTGTTCTTGGAACTATCAAGCTGCCATATCCTTCTAGAGCCTTTGACATGGTTCACTGTTCTCGTTGCCTTATTCCATGGGGTTCTAACGGTGAGGATAGTAATTTTGACTTTGATTCTATAATACAAAGCACAAGTGCAATACAGGATATGTCTGTTTTGGTTCATCATTTAGTTATAGCAGTTGGGTGCAATGTAAAATATCTTCTGGCCCTTGTAATGCTGCCAAAAACAAATGAATTTTGGGCAGAATATAAGTTTGTTTTAACTTCTGAAAATCTGTGCATCAAAACATTGTATTGCCAACACCAAAATAACTTGTGGCGAACATATTCATGCTAAATGAGTTGACTTTCAACTCTTTCAGTGAAGTCAATGGCCTTCAAAGTTAACTTGGTTCTTTTGTTCGTTTGAATACTTTTTGCTGATTATTTGCAATGAGTCTTTGATAACATCATCATGGGACCTGCTTCTTCAGATGGAATGTATATGATGGAAGTTGATCGTGTTCTTAGACCTTGTGGTTATTGGGTGCTTTCTGGTCCTCCAATCAATTGGAGGAACAATTACCAAGCATGGCAGCGTCCTAAAGAGGAACTTGAGGAGGAACAGAGGAAGATCGAAGAAACTGCTAAACTTCTTTGCTGGGAAAAGAAACATGAGATAGGTGAAATAGCCATCTGGCAGAAAAGGATAAACTATGATTCTTGCCGTGACCTAAATCCTCAGCCTACAATGTGCCAACCTACAAACACAGATGATGTGTGGTATGCCATGTGGTGAACTTCTTTCCTGCTTTTTGCTGATAGCAATATTTCCTGTCCTGACTTATTTAGATGTTTTTCTTTTTCTTTTTTTTTTTTTTTTCATCCCTTATGGAAAGAAACCTACTAACCTTCAAATCATAATTTTTTTTTCCTCCTTTTGGAAATTTATGGAAATGAACTGTTCCAGATGTGGTCTTTTCTCTCCTTCACTTTTTTTTTTTTTTTTGCTTCAAAATCAGATAATTTTTTTTTCCTCCTTTTTGGAAATTTATGGAATGAACTGTTTCCAGATGTGGTTCTTTTCTCTCCTTCAATTTTTTTTTTTTTTTTTTGGTTTTTTTAGTTTTCCTTTAGTGTAGTAAGATAAAATCAAAATCAGAAGAAATAAAAATTTTTCAGTACTTTGGATCTAATTATTTGGAATTTATATCTGAATTGCTAAGTGGAAATCCTATGTTTGTTCCAGCAAAGACTTTCTGTAGTTTGTGTTCAGTGATGAAACTTTCCTGTTATTACTCCATTAAGAATTAACAACTTCATACCATGTTTTTACATAATCTGATTTTTTTGGCAGGTACAGAAAGAATGGAGAACATGTGGTAACTGCCCCTATCTTGAGAACCCATGAGCCAAATGAAGTTGCTGGTGCACCATGGAGGCCAATTTTTTTTTTTTTTTTTTTGGTTTTTAGATTTTCTTAGTGTAGTAGAAAATCAAAATCAGAAGAAATAAAATTTTTCAGTACTTGGATCTAAATTATGTCTGGAATTATATCTGAATTGCTAGTGGATCTATGTTTGTCCAGCAAAGACTTTCTGTAGTTTTGTGTTCAGGATGAAACTTTCTGTTATTTCCATTAGAATAACAACTTTATACCATGTTTTTACATAATCTGATTTTTGGCAGGTACAAGAAAATGGAGACATGTGTAACTCCCTATCTTGAGACCCATGAGCCAAATGAAGTTGCTGGTGCACCATGGAGGCCATTTCCAGAAAGACTTAATGCTGTTCCTTTCAGAATATCCAGTGGCTCCATTCCCGGAGTATCTATTGAGGCATACCTGGAAGATTTTCGTCTTTGCAAAAAGCATGTCAATGCCTATAAGAGGATAAACAAAATCCTTGACTCAGGAAGGTACCGCAACATCATGGATATGAATGCTGGTATGGGAGGTTTTGCTGCTGCCCTTGAATCTCCAAAATTATGGGTTATGAATGTTATGCCTACAATAGCTGAAAAAGACACTTTGGGTGTGATATACGAGCGTGGCTTGATTGGCATATATCATGATTGGTAACTTCTGGAAGATCTCTCCGTCCCTCTTTGATTTTTTATTTCTCAGCTAATTTTTTGTTTGACTAGGTTCTGCAGTGGATGAATGAGATTGAAACAGGCATAACCTTAGTGCTGATCCTAATGACCTTTTCGCATTGTGAAATAAACCTTTCTTTCTCATCTCAACTCCATTCTAAGCCTCTGCACCTTTCTTTTTAGTAGTTGCTTTTGGGTGTTAACTATACCAATCCCTGTTTTTTTTTCCAGCCTGGAACCAACACCATGGCAGTTTGCAGATCTAGAGTGTCATGATCACAACTGATCCTGTTACTGAAATCCAAGTTCTAATAAAGCAGATTTGGGTTTTTTCTAAATTAGAATTTTTCTGAGCTCATATTTCCTGCAGTTTTAAGCATACTGCATAGGCTGAATATCAGCATATGGAATTCAAGCTGATAAAAGACCCTGGCTGGTGTTTGGCGTTGAACAAATATGTGATAAAACATGCATATACAATCTAACCATTTCTTTTGTTACTCTTATTCTTGGGCCATGAAAATGAGACATAAGTGAAGCAAAAAAAAAAAAGGCAAAAATTTCATTGTTAATCTTTAGGCCAATGCTTTAAAAGTTCACTAGACTTGGGAATCTATTATCTTTATTTTTGCTCTTGATAACTAAGAAATCAGAGTTCAAAAATGTAAATAATCTAGGGAATTGTAGTTTAGCAGGGATGCTTGCCTATGCTCTAAGAGGCTTTGCCATGAGAAAAACTAACTTCAAATTTGAAATTTGCGGTATATGCTACATCAGATTTTTTCTGATTTGGATATCACTTGTAATTGCAATTTAGATTTCTTTGTTACCACAGTGCATGCTACAAGATAGTGAGTGTTGCTTTGTATTATGCTAAAGAGTTCTTCATTCATTTCCCCTTCAATCTTCATAACTATATGATGGAAGAAAGATAGTTTAAATCAGACTGAGGCTCCTATTGATCGCTTGTGTTGTTTGTTCTCTAATGCTATCGTCTGTTTAATATTCTTCTTCTATATCTCATCAGGTGCGAAGCCTTCTCCACTTACCCAAGGACGTACGACCTAATTCATGCAAATGCCCTTTTCAGCTTATATAAAGATAAGTAAGTCTTTATTGGTACTACTTCTTATCATGTTCTAATAGAATAAAGCTTTGCGGTTTGGGAATTTGAGTTGACCTTATAAAATAAAATAAAGAAAGGTTTGTATGACCCTTTAGTTAACTTACAATGGACTTGATCTTCCCAGTTTGAGATCCAAATCAACTTACGAAATACCAGTATAAATTGACATAATTTGTGGGAAATTGCAATACTTCTTTTAGTAGGAATGATATGATTTTTCTTAAACCGCAAAGTTATTGTTCTATCTCAGACCCAGCCTTTATCCTTTTATATTGCATGTGAACATGCAACTAGAAACACTTTAAGCTTTTCTTTTGCTTTTATTGTTCTAATGAAGGTGCAACATGGAAGACATTCTTCTGGAGATGGATCGCATTTTAAGGCCAGAAGGAGCAGTCATATTCCGTGATCAGGAGGATATATTGATCAAGGTGAAGAGAATTGTTGGAGGAATGAGATGGAATACAAAAATGGTGGATCATGAGGATGGTCCGCTTGTCCCAGAAAAGGTCATGTTTGCTGTCAAACAGTACTGGGTTGCTGGAGAATACAATCGTACGACCTCACAATAAATCAGGACTGTGCTAATTAATGCTACTTTTTCTGACTCGGAATCAACCAATGAATTTTGTCACACGTGGGGCCGCTCTGCGATAAGCAAAGTCATTGAATATATGCTTCTATAGTATTTATTTATCGTTTATTAGCTTCTGTTCTTCTGGGGTAAATATGGAATACACATAGGTCATTCTTACTTGCAAAGCCTGGTGGTTACAGTCCTTTCAATTCCAAATTCATTTGTCTTTTCTTCTTTCTTTTATCTCATAGCCAACACTTAGCTTTAGTTTCAGGCCTAGGTGGAGTTCAGTGTTGGCTTTTCTACAGTCTGTAAAAAAATTTTGAAGTTTTCACTGATGTCCATTTTGCCTTATAAATCCAATTTCATGGCATTCTTTTTTATCTGATAATTGCCTTTACATATTAACATTGACTGCCATTAAATCTGGACACATTTGAAATCATTAATTTAATGTAGTATAGGGGAATACGGATAAAGTATCCATATAGCTTCGTGTCACAGTTTGCTTGGTTTACTTCGTTTAAGCTGTTCATAGCTGCCAAAGCTTTCCACCTTTGTTTTGTTGCAGTAATAAATATGGCATGTGGACGACAATTTAAGACCACCCTATTATATTGATTGGACTCTTGATTGACTCACAGTAGGCTTATCCCCACTAATTGCGAGCCATAGATATCCCCCATTAAAATAGTACTTTTAAGGAAGTAAAGCTGTAAGTCCAAGAGCCATTTCAATTAGTTTAAGGAATACCTCGAAATTTTGTAATTTGTTGAGCATTTTTACTTTTGGAAAGTAATACCCTCAAATGAAACTTAGAGATTAATTGCACCATATGGTGAATTACAATAACTTCCAAAGTTCAGGGTACTTCTAATCAATTCACAATAATGCTAAGGAAGTAGTAGCTGCAAAATTGAGCATCTAACCTACAGAGAGATAAGAAAGGTAGTGAGCCATCATAACCATGCCTCCTATGCTGCAACCCCACAAGTCTGCTTCTATAAAGTTTGCTCTCACAAAACCATGCTATCTTTAACTCTGTTATATCAGCTTCAAACACTATCTCCTTCCTTTTTAAGCTTGTCCTGGCTTTAGTGTCTTCAACAACTCTCTAGTCATTCAAAAGTTTCTATATATAGTTTCTGCACTCTCCACAAATCCTCAACCATTAAAATTTCCTGTCTTCTTCTCTTTTTCTTTCTTCTTTTGTATCTGTCGTCAAACTTTGCCTATATGGTTCTTAGCTCGTCATAAGCATATTTCTTAGCTTCCATAATCTTCTTTTCTTTCACTTCTACAGCTATGGATGAAAGCAAGATTAGTGATCTTCGCGATGCCTCATTTTCTTACCTCACAGCAGCAAAGGAGAATTATGTACTTAAGCTGACAGAATCAGTGCAGTTTCCCCATCCTGACATAATCTCAAGCCAAGAAACTTCCTTGGAGAAAACTAAGCCGCAAGAGGGCGAAATCAATGTCTTTGGAGCTGAGAAATACTTCAACATGAAACTGGATGATAAAACTTCAGGAAGTATGAATTCTAATAAATGCAAATTTGTGAATGAGACTGTAGAGAACCGGGTCGATCATCACAGATTGAGAACAAAAGGAAGGATTGGAACACCAAGTGTGAGTTCTGAATCAAGTTGGAACACCCAAAGTGCTTTATTACCAAGTTCCCGGAGAAACTTATCTTATGGCAGACAAAAGAAAGTAAATGAAAGATGGTTCTTTCCTGGTTTTGGCTGCAATAGATCTTGTTCTGATAAGAAATCGGTTTATATCGATACGAATATTAATACTTGTCGCAATCCTATCGTCTCAGAGGGAAGAAAACAATCTCAACCGAGATATCCAGTGAAAGACGAGTTTCACAGCCCAGTTTTTGAAAAAATGAGTATTGGTTCTAATACATCAGAAGACTATTATGTATTACCAACGGTAAATTCAGGAGTGCAAAACTTGAAAGTTAAAAAAGAAAAGCAGAAGAAACCTGTCCAAGAAGACCCAAGAAAATCATTAGACGTGTTTGGATCTCATATGCTAAATAAAGAAGATATAGCAACAAATTTAGAGAGGAAACTTTCTGTGCTTACTTGGGATGCTATTCCATTTCCAAAAGGACAAAACCTGCCAAATCCTTCTGCAAGCAGCCAAAGGTATGAAGATCCAGAAAGCGATGCTAGTTCAGACTTGTTCGAGATAGAGAACATTTCCTGCAGTACACAGCCAATATTTACTAAACAAATTTCTGATGGCATGTCCAGTTGTATGACACCTAATAGCCGGTATGAGCCTAGTGAGACTAGCATTGAGTGGAGTGTTGTGACGGCCAGTGCAGCTGAGTTTTCTGTTGTTTCAGAATATGATGAAAAAAAAACTGCACAAACTACTACAAATTCTCCTGGTTTAACATCAAGGCCTAGAAGTCATCACTCGAATAGCCTATTGGGGTGTAAGAGTCAGAAGGCACTGCAAGTTGCTGAAACTGCATACAAGACTAAACCTCCATTGAATCCTCAGCATCGAAGGTCACTAGACCCATCGATGCAAATAATAAGGAAATTACCAGCTGATTCTAAGGTGAAAGATTATGATTTCCCTTGATTGCTTGCTACTTGCTACTTCTTTTTACCGAGAAAGAGCTCTTTCCTTTAAATTTACAGCTGAGATTAATGTTTATTATCCTGAAAATGGAATAAAATTTCTTCCTGATAAGTGTTCTTGTCTATATTTTCTCTTTAGCAATGGAATTGAAGCTTTTATCTTTATCCACATATTGTATGTCTTTCAAAGGCAGAACAGCCATGAAACATGGAAAGTTAATCTTGATTTACGACCTAAAAGACACAAGCAAACCACTTGACCCCCCATGTCTAAACATAGTTTGTTTTTCAATTTCTGAAGAGTTTGTTCTTGTTCTCTTGATTTACAACTAGAGGGTCTTTCATGTTTTGGACCTTGATAACTTTTGGTAAAGCCAATTTTGGCTCACTCGTGAGCCTACAAATCTTGAGTTCAGGTTGACAAGTATCTATTTAGATCTAAAACAGAAAGGCCCTACAAAATAGACATGTATATTTGCTAAAGCAACATAAATTTGGCATCAACTCCATTTCCCTGAACATTGTCTCTTTATGTTTCATTCTAAAAACCAAAAGGTTTAACTCCCTCAAACTTTAGAGCATAAAAGTTTTTGGCCCTCTTAGCAAAGAGCGTTTATTGGAGATCGAATTTGTATTCTCTCAAGTACGGAAATTGAAATTCCTAACCATCTTAACCAACAAGTTCTTGAAAGTGAAAGATACGGTGAAAAAAATTTCATGCGAATAATTCTAGCGATGAGATTGCTACTAATAGGGAATAAATGTTGTTCACATTGACATGTTCTAGTCATGATAGTTACATTGATATATATACACAAGTTGTTTACCTATATATTCAATTCTCTATCCATCTTGTATTCCAAGTGGATCCCATAACTCTCTTACATCTCTTTCACACAATAGAAATTAGGTTCAGAATCTGGTAAACATTGGAAAAATCCTGTCAAAATAATAAAAGGTAGTAATGGTTTATTAAAGCAAATTTGTGCCAATTATGTAATTCTCATACCACAATTTTAGAGAAGTAAGAGTAATTCTTTTAGAAAGTTCCTTAATAATGCTGATTCTTCAACAATGGCAAAATGCCTCCATGTCGCGATACTCTACTTCACCTAATTCCAATGAAACAAATTTTCAACATTTTAGGTATTCCAACTTGAATCCTAATTCAAACCTAAAAATTATACTATCGGCGCAAGATTGATATTCATGAATCCATATTTAAACTCACTTGAAATAAATAAATAAATAGATAAATAGAAGTTGGATATTTTAAAATTTTAAAAATTCATATTCCTCTTTAAGTTTTTTATACAGTTGAAATAAATAAATATCTTCAATTGGGTAGTGAGAATTTTACCATTTCCCAATATAATGAAAGGAATGGTAAAGACAGGCTACCATGGATGTGAATGATGTGATGATGAAAGAACGATAGGAATGATGACCCATTAATGCAAAGCAGGTAGAGGAGTTGCACATCACGATCCATCCTTCAAAGGTTTGAATATATTTGAATTAAAAAACTTAATCATGGGGCTAAACAGAAAAATTCCCTTTATAATTATATGTGATTGTAATAACTCAAGCCCGCAATGCTTAGCAAACGGAATGTCGTGAAGGGACCAATTAGAGAGTTGGATTGAATTGATAACAAAATTTAATTCAATACTTTTCAAAGGACCACTTTGAGCATGGAGCTTTTAATGCCTAAAAATATGCATAGTCGGTCATACTAATATATGAATATGAACCTTTGAGCAATTAGGATCAATAACAATAGGATTCAATCAAAAATTTTGTGCACATAAATATTCCATGGATTCTATTGATGATTATGATTTTTGGAATTTTAAATATTTCTTCTTATTAGGAATTTTGTCAAATTAATGTAGTAATTTACTTAAATATTTTCAAAATTCATCCCAATTTAAGATAATTTACAATAAAAGATACATAGTCAGTCCTATTAAAATACATCGTTGATTAACATTACTCTCAAAATTTAGAGTCGTTATTATTGAAAGAATTTTATTTAAATACCAGATTTAATCCAAGTGTGAAAATGTGTTTCAAAAAAAAAAAAGCATTCGTCTTTGTAATTTTCTCTTTCTTTATTTTCTAGTCTTTTAGATGAGAGAAGAAATGCATTTCAAAAAAAAAAAAAAAATAGAGAAGAAATATTATTTCTTTTTTTTTTCTCCCCTCTTTCACATCCCTTGCATTTATGTCTTTCTAATTAAAGCATTAAACTTTAACATATACATCGTTGATTAACATAGTTTTGTGCTCTTTCACATCCCTTGCAAAAGAGCACAAAACTTGCTTTTCAAAATTTCGAATTTCAACCAATCTCATAAGAGGCTTGGAGTTGTAAGTTCAAAGCCCGGAAACAAGAGGTCTTCGAAGTTATGAACTATGGCTGCAAGCCCAACGACATATTTTCTCCTACTCTTTTTTTTTTTCTTTTATTTATTTTTTTACGTTTAAATTTATTTTATTGAGCACTTTAACTTATAAAATTTGATAAATTAAACACTCATTAAAAATTCAAAATTTATGAAAATTACTATTCTAAAAGTCATGTTAACTACATATCAAGTCAATATTTTGCAGATAAAAATTAAAAACCGTAAAAATTATTGATATTAGTATCGAAAGGTATGTAATATTATCAAAAGTTTCAAGTTCAAGTTTTTGGGTAAATTTATCTTACTCAACGATTATAATTAAAAGAATACCTTAAATCTGTGGCCAAACATCAACTTGTGAAGTGGAACCAAAGTACAATTATAAATAGATTTTTTTTTTGAGGATAAATTATAAATACATTTACTTTCATTGCTATATTAGGATAAAGTTCGTTATAATTAAAGATATACTTAACTTAATTTGTGAATTAATAATGCTATTAATTTATTTTATTGCAGTTGAAAGAGAACATTGCTTATAATTATTAGCTCCTCTTTTCCAAAATTAAAATGATAATAAAAGAAATAACATTTAATTCCTTATCCTTTCAGTGGATTTGTCTTGCAGTCAATAAGTTTTATAATGAATTATACTGTCTTTAATAGTTTTTACTGTTTACAGTTTAAAGTGTAAAAAAAAAATTAATAGTTTAAACTGTTTACAGTTTTTACTGTTTACGGTGCAAAGTATAAAAATTCATTATATATAATCTTCGAATGGCAGAATAAAAAAAAAAAAAAATCATGTTAGCTTATGCTAATTCTGGTGACTGGGGCTTTACTAAAAAAAAAATAAAAAAATCTAACGCAACAATTATTAAGAGAGATACTGCCTAAAGTGCAAAGGTTTAATATCTAGCAATTGAATCTCTAAACTACCCTTAGAAATCAGCTTTCAAATGACCAAAAACACCTCGTTCTACCGCTTGTCATTTTAGAGTTGGACTCAGGTTAAGGGTTCACAATAAATACATCACACCAGATATGAACTCCCAAAACCCTAACCCTTTTGTTGCCACGCTGACGCATTCCCTGTCTCTGCCATTTCACTACATAAAAGAGAGGGAGAGGAGCACTAGGGTTTTAGCCAATCTCCCCCAGTAAAGAGAGGCTCAATTGAGTTAGGCTGTGAGTTCATACATAAAAGTAAAAATGGTTGCAGACAAGGGGAAGAAGATGAAGGTGGCAGAGAAAGGAGAGGAGGAAACTAACCAAATCGATGAAGCGCTCGTCCTCTCAATCGAGAAGCTTCAGGAGATCCAAGATGATCTCGAAAAGGTATATCTGCATATTTGTTTGTAGGTTTGAAGTGCAAAAGCAGTTTTCTTTGGATTCTTTTTATGGCTTTCTGTTGTTCTTTGGTGTGAACAGCAAGAGGTGAATTCAAGAAAAAATAGTTGAACAATGGGTAGTTGAGTGGAAGTTTTATTTTTAATTTGGTTTACGAATTGTTTTTTTTTTTTTGGCTCAACGTTTGATTTTGTTTTTCATTTCTGAATTTTGTTTTGAAGCCTTATGGATGAGTTATTATCGTTTTAATTATGCTGGGAATGCAGCACTTTGTACAGGATGTATTCAGCACTGTCTTGCAACAATTGGATGATTCACTCATTGATAATTACTATAAACTTTTTTTTTTTAACTTCCAAAAATTTGGAATAATCTTTTAATGAAATTAGACTCTGCCTTTTGCATAATTATATGTCTACTTGTAACTTCAACACTAGGTCTTTTGCGAAGTAACTTGATTTGAAAAATCGCTTTTCAACTAGATGCTGTTGGACTTTATTCTAGTCATTTGCGGCCACATATAAAGTTTAACGGGAGATAAATTGTTGGTTATTTGATTATTGCCATTTCATATGCCCTGTTCATTTACCTTAATAGCTCTTCTTCCTCCCATTTCCATTTCTTTTTTCATTTCTTTCTCTTCTCTCCCTTTAAGTGTAGTTTATGTCTGTTTCCAGATCAATGAGGAGGCAAGTGATAAGGTCCTGGAGGTAGAGCAGAAATATAATGAGATACGCAAGCCAGTCTATGATAAGCGGAATGAGATAATTAAAACCATTCCTGACTTCTGGTTAACAGCTGTTAGTGTTCTATTTTTCAGCTGTTAATTTAACGCAATGTTCACTCTGATGACTTCTATCATATTAATAATTCCCTGCATCAAGTTTACTTAATTACTATTTTTATGCAGTTCTTAAGCCATCCGGTTCTTAGTACACTTCTAAATGAAGAGGATCAAAAGGTTTGGTTTTATTCCTATGTGAACTGTTCTGAATTTATTTTACTATTGTTTAGAAACTGATTTAGCCATTATTAAATAGTTTAAGCCAGCTGCTTAACTGTGTAGTGATTTTCTTTCACTTTTGCCTTTTTTCCTGGATAGATATTTAAATATATAAGCTCCCTCGAGGTGGAGGACTTTAAAGATATGAAATCAGGCTACTCTATAACATTTGTAAGTTTGTCATTTGTCGAATACTTGCCTTGATTTGTAGGAAAATTTTTTACTTACTCTCCATTAATCAAACTTAAGAGATGAATTTCTTGATTCCAGTAAATAAATTAATGGTTAGCTCCTAATTGTGAAGCTCTCTTCTTTTTCCCTTAATTTCAGAACTTTCAACCGAATCCTTATTTTGAGGATACAAAGCTTACGAAGACTTTTACATTCCTTGATGAAGGAACAACTGAAATTACTGCTACACCAATTAAATGGAAACAGGGCATGGTAAATACTTTATTTCTCAACGCTAATTCTCTTGACGTGTGAATTGTTTGTATTCTGTCTTTTTTATTTCTAATTTAATTTCTAAATGTGAAGGGCATAGCTAATGGTGTTACTCATGAAAAGAAGGGGAACAAAAGGCCTTTGGGTGAGGAAAGGTGTGTTCTCTTGACAACTTACCCTTTCTGTCTCTTTATTTTTGAAAAAAAAACTATAGAATTATTTCATGTTGTGATAGTCCTTTTGGTCCATTAGTCCTTTTTTTTCTCCAGTGTGGCAGAAGGGGGTTTGGGTGTGTGAGATCACGAGACTCAACTCCAGAAACAATAAATAGATACTCTTTGAAAATTTAATTACAGTTTGGTGGTTGGTAAGCTAATGTTTGTCTTCAAATTGTTTTCTCTGCCTGAGTATGATAAGATGGGTAATTAGGTGAGTTATTTGACCATTTAGTCGGTGTTTATGAAGCTTGGCGACTTCGGAAAATGGAAATAGATGTGTGAACTGTCATAGGCAGTTATAAATCTAATGGGCATGCACCCATTTGTACTCATATGTTTATTGCATCATGTAATGGATATATATTCTTCTATTATTCTTCATTTATGAATATACATACATATTATTCTTCTTTCATCCCAATTTAAAATGGAATGCAGGCTATCCTTTTCCCCTGCATAGTTAGGCTTATGTTGCTTGGTTTTAGTGGGAAACTTCTTCATTGTCTACCATTCGTCCTGCTGCTGATGTATTTATTGCTTTAAGAAGTAATACCGCATCTTGAATTTATTTTCCTTTGGTGTTCTCTGACTTTTCTTCCTTCTGTGGGAACAATTTAGGGCTTTTGAGTGGTCAAACTGAATTTGAAGTGAGATATGATTTTCAATTTTGAATGAGTAGTGTTGGGTGAGTATTCCATCTTAGAGAGTCACCTATGTAAGCAGGGTGGGTATGTGAAGCAATAGTGGGAATGTAGGATTTGGAATTTGTTCTGTCAGCCAATTCTTAAGCTTCTTTTTTCGACCTGCTCTTTTATTGATTTTCTATTTTGTATGCTTGGCATAGCCATCTATCTATTGGCGTACATCCATTCCACCTTTTCACATTTTATTATTAACTAACATAGCATCATATTATGTTTAAATTTGAGTTTTATATACCTGTGTTTTTTATTGTCTTCACCTGCAAACTTGTCTCCTCTACTGCAGTGGTGGCTTTTTCTTCTGGTTTAGTAGTACTGAGTCTGAGCAAAAAGAATTAGATGACATGCAGGATGAGGTATGTTGTATTTGTCTGTGCACATTGGATTTATCGATTGATCTAGTAATGGTGACACCATAGATGTTTTCTTCTTGCCTTTCGTCATCACTGAAAATGTTAAAAACTCAAAATCTGCAGATTGCCGAGATCATCAAAGAGGATTTATGGCCCAATCCGCTCTCTTATTTCAACACTGTAATTTATTTCTTCTATGGCTTCCCCCCCATTTTTTCCTTCAAGTTGAAGTAATTTTAAAACAGTGTTCATTTCTCTTTCTTCTGTAATGTAGGATCCTGACGAAGAGGATATGGATGGGGATGATGCTGATGAAGGGGTAAATGCATTGCTTGAATTAAAATTTATAAGCACCACTGCGTGCAGCCTGCCATAATATTTATTCAACATATTGTTATAAGCTACTCTTATATGACCTTTCTGTGAATGACAATGAGTTCTGATATTATCTTTTGATTTCTAGGTCGTCACTGTGTGCAATGTTCTATTGATTGCCTATATAGTCTGGCAGAGTCATGTAGTTGAGATTTGAAAATAGTGATCCAAAGTTAAGAGGAAAATACCTGTTATGTGCCTATTACATGGCTATATAGTCTGGCAGAGTCATGTAGTTGATATTTGAGATAGTGATCCAAAGTTAAGAGGAAAATACCTGTTATGTGCCTATTACATGGCTATATAGTCTGGCAGAGTCATGTAGTTGATATTTGAGATAGTGATCCAAAGTTAAGAGGAAAATACCAGAGTCATGTAGTTGATATTTGAGATAGTGATCCAAAGTTAAGAGGAAAATACCTGTTATTGGAAGGATGAACTAAATAATACGTACGACACTTTTTAAGAAATTGAAAAATAAAATATTCTCAGGATTATCAGTGGTGGAAAGCGTACACCTTCCTTAAACCATGTACATACTCAAATATTCTGGATTAATCAGTTCTGTTCCCAGTGGCGTAACCCAGTAAAGGGTTTCTTGTTCTGAGTTTTTGAAACTATTTTAATGAGTTATTTATCATGATATTTAGGACACAAGCTATTTAGGTTTTTTTTTTTTGGATTTGCAGTCCTTGGATTGTGAATATTGAGCCTTATGTGCTACCACTGGCTGAAGTTAGGTTTATGCGAAGTTTGTGGAACAAATGCTACTAATCGTAGGTTGAAAGGAATGGTAATGGAGTTCTTAGGAGGTCTGTGACTGGTGGGCAATGCTATTGATGAGGGGAGCAATACATAGACAAGCACCATTTGTTTGCTTTTATATCATAATGTTTCAAGTGCAGCAAGTCAACAGCATCAATGAGATCAAACCTTGAAATTAATGTATTTATTTTCACATGGGAGTTTGGCTAATGGAAAATGTGCTGTAATAAAATGAGTATCATAGGTGAAATTAGGATTCAACATATATGGGTTTTTGTTAATTGAGATCTTGAGCAGTTTGCTTTGAATCATATGTTATATTTGTTAGAAGAATCAGGTGTTATATTAAAGTTTATATTACTTAGATCACTAAAATTCTTGTAGAACTCATTTTTGATCCACAATTTGTTTCCACGCATTAGAAATCTAAACTGTAGTGGGTAGAATATGTGCAGTAGCTTTGAATATAAGTGTGTTTGTGTAAATAATTTGAGAGGCCTTTGGAATTCGTACTTTTACAGGTGAATTAGGGGTTGAAAGTGAAAGATGTTCTGCCTAAATAAAGATGAATGAGAATAGGGTAGCGAAAAGAAGTGGGAACTATTTAATCTATTTGATTCTTGATTGGAGTTTCTAGTTGTGCCGCTGTATGTAGTCCTAGTTCTAGTTATTTTAGGTGTATACATTTTGGAATATAATTATTATTCATGGCAATAGGTTAACACTAGTTGTTCACTATAGTTTTTTGGAATTAGATACTGCCAGATCGATTGGCTTTCCAAATCAACTAGCAAGCTTTCTTGTTGGAATTGTGCTTTTCCAAATAGATACTGAGATGCAACATTGATGCTGTCAATAATTGGATTTGATGTTACTACTTTTCTAATCTTTATATGTTTGAAAATCAATTTTTAAGTGCTGAGTGTCCTCTTAGTTTCTTGTACCTTTAAGTCTTAGCATTGTAACTAGTGCATGACTGCAAGGATATGGAAAATTAAGGATTGGAAAGTGCTTATTGAGATGTATGAGGTTGATTGCACTATTGTTTTTTGACTGCTCAAAACATAGATGTGAACAGCAATTTGATGGAGGATTGGTTTTTATATAATAATGATTGTTCACATTAAAGTGAAAATTGGATAATTTTGTTACGCCTGGCACATATAATAGATATTTGTAAATGATAGCTAAAAGCTAGGGAAAAAGAAGTCACTCTGGTTTCTTATTCTCTGAGTTTCTGCCTGAATGATGGCAGGATAAGGATGGCGAGGACTCAGATGATGATGATGATGATGATGAGCAAGAGGAGGACGACGAAGATGATGATGAAGATGGTGATGCCGAAAATTGAGTACTTTGTTTACATATATTATTATGTCAGTTTTTTGCCTTTTGGTTTAACAGCTTGTGTAAAGTGGTCTTTAAGGTTGCTGAGTATCAACAGGTGATAGGGAGGATTACCAATCTTAACATTTTATAATAGCTTCCTCTAATGTGTAGGTTATGTGACTGGTACCATATTCAGTCTGTTGTTTTCTGATGACTTTTTATTTTCCAGGCAAGGCCTTTGATTTTGTTCATCTATCCCATAGATGCATGTTTTAGATGATGTTATGGTATGATGATGGCGTTAAATCTTTTTATTTTTTAGCAACGGAAGCCAATTTTGTAACTTCAATAACTATTAGCATTCTGTGAAGCTTCTCAAGATAATTAGTTATTTCATTCATATATGGTTTATTGAGGGATTAAGGCGTGGTTGGTTTCGAAAAATTTTTGCACTTTGATATTGTAATTATTTAATGAATGAAATATTCTTTTCTTATTGTTTTATATAACTTATTTTTTATAAATTTAAAAAGATTTCTGACGTATAGTGAATTATTATCTAGTAATACTTATTCACCCAGACATTAATCATTTTATGTTTATTGAGGAGTTAGGATAAGAACGAATATTTTCTGACATTTTTAATCCTCCCGAGAAGTTCGGAATTTGTTTTGACAGTTTTTTACGTTGCCAGCTGTATAAATTTGTCCTGATTTTTTTTATTAAATATTTTTAGATTCCTAAATTATAATAAAATTAATATTTTGATTCCTCAATGTTTGAATAATATATTCCGATTTTGAATTATCTGGATTTTGTTAGTGGAGAAATTTCTCTACTGAATTTTGCTAGACTGTTGCGAATTTTGCTTTATCTTTGATGACAATAGAGATAAATAAAATATTAGGCAACAGTGTAAGTTTTTTTTTTTTTTTTTTTTTAAAATAATTATAGGGCAAAAACAGTGTAAGTTTTTTTTTTTTTTTTTTTAGTTTTTTTTTTTTTTTTTTTGTTCAAGATGATTAATGTTGGTTTTTCCACTCTCAATTCAATTAATAATATATTATTTGATACTATCATTAATATTATTTCAGAGTTTTTTCTAATTTTTTGGTTATTTTCTTACTTCACTTTCTTTTAATTTTGATATTAATAGAGCTAAAATTAATATTAGTATTAACATTAATGGTATGTTGTTTAATTTATTTTTCAATAATTAATTAAATTAGTACATATGAATATGATCTTTAAATTGTTTTCAGCATCGTCTTCATTAGCTGTTTCATTGTTATCCTTCGTTGCAGTGTAAAACAAGCTAATTTTGATCACGCCTTATTACGATACTTCCAAAACAATGACGGAGTCGAGCATTCCCACTATTGACCTTTCACCTTTCTTTAGAGAAGGTGATGAAGAGGACAAGAAAATTGCCATTGATTCTATAACCAAAGCTTGCTCTGATTATGGATTCTTCCAAATTGTGAACCATGGCATTCCCTCTGCTTTGATGAACCAAGCCCTCCAGCTTTCCGAGAAATTTTTCAATTTCCCAGATGAGGAGAAACGCAAGTCCAGTCCTAACACAGCTGCACCCCTCCCTGCCGGTTATAGTCGGCAGCCGGAACACTCACCGGATAAGAACGAATATTTTCTGGTGTTTCCACCAGACTCTACCTTCAACGTCTACCCTCCAAACCCTGCTGGATTCAGGTAAGACTTCAACTAACTAAAACTGCTTTCGGGTAATTAATTAATTATGTTTAACTAACAGCGAGTAATTTGTGATTTGGTAGAGAGGTACTGGAAGAGATATTCAGTTACTTGAGCAAGACAGGTACCCTTATAGAGAGCATAATAAACGAGGGTCTCGGTCTGCCATCAAATTTTCTCAAAGAATTCAACCATGATAGGAGCTGGGATTTCATGTCAGCTCTTCGTTATTTTCCGGCAACTGAAAATGAGAACAATGGAATAACAGAACATGAAGATGGAAACTGTATCACTTTTGTTTTCCAAGACGAAGTTGGTGGTCTACAAGTCCGCAAGAATGGGGAATGGATTCCTATTACCCCTGCAAAGGACACTATAGTTGTCAATGTTGGCGATGTTATTCAGGTAATATTAAACAAGAACTTAATACTATCACTTACCTTCTGTTCTTTTTTTTTTTTTTTCTTCTTCTTCTTAATTATTCAAATTCTTGTGATATGATGAACAAGGTGTTGAGCAACAATAATTTCAAAAGTGCAACCCACAGGGTAGTGAGACCTGAAGGCAAAAGCAGATACTCATATGCATTTTTCTACAACTTGCAAGGAGAGAAGTGGGTTGAACCATTGCCAGAGTTCAGTAAAGAGATTGGAGAGGCACCAAAGTACAGAGGTTTCGTGTTGAAGGAGTATCAGGAGCTGAGAATGAGAAACAAGACCCATCCTCCTTCAAGACCTGAGGATGTTATCCATATAACCCATTATGCCATATGACAATGCATGACCCAGAATATGTAGCAATTAATAAGGTAATCTTGTACCAGCTTGGGAACAATTTTATTGTTTTGAATCCAACTCTAGTTGATTGCATCTCTTGTTTGATGTTTGATGTTATGGTAATTGACCGAGTTGCTACGAAATTATTGTTACTATAAGCACGTGCTGAGAAAACTCTTGAAATTTTATTTTAAAATGAGTAAATTTATTAAATAATACTAATCGGAATGAGAGTAGCTAACGGTGACAAAGATCGCTGGATTGATCATTATAACTTAGATCATCCGTTCGATATTTGCAATACAAATTTTCTTTGTCAACTCTTTCGCTTCCAAAGATAGATGATTGTAGACAGTGAAATAAAAAAAAAAAAAAATCTGTATGGGCCCTGAGGCCTATCAAATCCAACTTTTAAACGAATATTTTTTGGACTGAGGAGTGAGGACTTTGTAAGAAGGAGGGTAGGTTCAGGTTAAAGGGGTACAAAATCTATAGGCCTAGCATATCGAATCAAAAAATTTTGTTGATTTGACATAATTCAGCCATAAAATGCCCTCGCCATTTTTGGTATGGAGAGAGCTTATTTTGGTCTGCTGTGGGATTTGAGAGCGAAGAAGATGAAGATTATGGAAATCTTATGTTTTCTTTAGAATTTAGACAGCAATCTTTCTTTTTCTTTTTAATTTTCAATACATTGGAGGAAAAAAATCCCAAAGAAATTAATAGTTTTAACAAAATTAAAATTATTTGGATTTCAAAATGAATTTTATACTTCATAGTTTAGATATCACACACTAGATTTCATTTTAATTATTAAGAAGGATAATAATATATTAAGGGATTATTAATTTTATTTTGATTTTATTTGATTTGCTGAAATTAATGCTTGAGTTGGGTATCTTTGTTTTAATTGGATTAGATTTGCAGGTACCAAAATGGCAGCAGCTTTTTTACAGGCCATAACAAATTTAGAGTCCAAACCATGGGGATGATGGCCTGACTGTACTTGTTAATGACATCTGCTGCTAAAAAGCATATCTTTAAACATTACATGTGCATTTCTTTCAATTTTATTGCTAGGAAAAGTTAAAGATGCCACCAACAATGCAATTTATATGATTTTCACTATTTTTTTTTTATTTTAAGAAATCAAAATTGATATAATAACTATATAATCCCCCTTTTTTTTTTTTTTTTTTGATATAATAACTATATTTAATCCCCCTTTTTTTTTCCCCCTTTTTTTTTTTTTTTGGAAACAACTATTACATATTTGGCAAAATTACTAATTTATCCTTGATATTTAGCCCTTCTATCAAAAACTGGTATTTTAACTATAGCTGAAATACTAAATAGTTAATGCAAATGATTAAACAGTAATGTTATATTAAATGTAGTACACTAAATATTCAATATTATAAGGTATCTAATGGTAAATAAAACATTTTTCAAAAGAAATGATTAAATAATTCAATGTAACTAAACCTTACAGATGAACTAATAGTAATATCAAACAGTAAGGGATGTGATAGTAATTTTGGCCAAAACTCAGGACTAAATAGTTAATTATATATATAAAAAATTAATTATTTGAGATGAAGGAAAAGCAAGATGATATTTCTTTTTTTTTTTTTTTTTTTTTTTTTTTTTTTTTTTTTAGAAAAATAGGTTTCAAGAAAAGGAGAGACAGCCCAATTTGCAAAGAAACTATTGCATTGGGAATGATGAATAAAAAAAAGAAAAAAATTTTTTTTTTTTTTTTTTTTTTTTTTTAGAAAAATAGGTTTCAGAAAGGAAGACAGCAATTTGCAAAGAACTATTGCATTGGAATGATAATAAAAAAAAGAAAAAAAAAAAAAGGTGAAATCAATTCTTTTATAACGTAAAGAACCAATAAATGAGTTGTAAAAGGAGCCTTTGTCTTTGAATCAAATACTATAGCAATCACTAAAGTACATATAAAAAACATAGAAGAATTTGTGATTCCCTATGGAGTGTGTGTGCTTTTCTTTCTTTTTTCCTCACATTTTTCTTTTAATATTATATATAATATTATGGATTGGAAAGTTGGTGACATGAAGAATGGCTAGACACTGTCTCTTTCACTTTACAATTATGAGGATCATCCAATCCGGATTAAACCTATATTATTTGTACATTTGAGAGAGTGAGATTGAGATTGTTAGGATACATTCTCTCTCGTAATCATATGTTTTAAATTCCAGTTCTGAATATGAAATCCCTTTAAATATTAGAGAAGAAATATTTTACCTTCATTTATCGATCTGTTCGGTATGAATTGGAATCGATAGAGGAAATAGACCTCGTACACTGAATGATTAAAAAAAAGACATTATTTTTTGAATTTGAACACAAGAATCAATTAACCGGCAAAGGTGATAAAATGTCCTATCAAAGATTTTGATAGTCATTTTCAAGCCTAGCTGGTGGGCTTTGATTGGTTTTTTATAAGATAAGATACTCAAATGTCAAATGTGGTTTGTCTTAGTCTGTAGAAGAGGCTCATGATAAAGACATGCCTTTAAAGACTAATGTAAGACGCAAGATGATGCTTCTAACTTGTGGAAGACATCCATCTACCATCTTGTACTTGTTTTATCCATTTCTCTTAATATTAAATTATCCCATTCTACAGACAAAAGTAAATAAATAAATAAATAAATATATATATATAAATAATTTCCTAATTTCTATTGTAATACATTCATTTCTTTAATTATATAGTAATTAATTAATTAAAAGAATCAAGAATGAGGACAAGATATAATTTTGAGGCAATGTTTTTTTAGTAAAGATTCTTGAGAGGACAGAAATTGTTGTTTTGTTCTTTAGATTGAGCAGTCAGTAGCAATGGCACCACTTGCATTGCTTTCATCTAACTATATATCTTTCCTCATTTAAATATGTATATTGATGCATGGCAAATATATTTTTCCCTACCCTCAAAAGGGTAGATTGCCTTTTTGTCATTTTGCTTAAATAAGAGAAAACAACTTATAATATATATAATATATGCAATCTGGCAATTGTCTCACAGTACTAAGAATTAGATCAAAAATTAAGAATTTAAGCTCTTAAATTTATGAATTGTTTCTTTTATTTTTTTTTTTTAGAAAAAAAAAAAAAAAGGAATCATAAGTATATATAGATGTTACCATCAAGAAGATGATGATGTAAATGATTTCATGAAATAGAGGAAAGTGGGTACCTCTTAAACACTTTTTCTCTCTTCATGGACCACTGAAATATATAAATAAAAAGCACTCATCCATGAAAAAAAAAAAAAAAGAATTTTTACAAGGAGAGGAGAGGATGATGCAGTGAAAACGTAGGTGCATATAAATATAATAGGTACAAAATGATAGCAACTACAAATGGCTAGGAATATGCATTTTTATTTCATCATCCTAAATGCCTCCTAACAAGTTGGAGCCCTAATTCCCACATCACGTGTTCCATTGCACACTTGAGAATGACTATGTAAGAATGGGGGCATGCTGTCCACGTGACTGTGGGGGCAATTACCATTTGCAGAGCCAGAATATACATATACCATCCAATTGGGGTTTTTTTTGGGTGGATCACATCACAAATATCTATTTCTTTTCCTTTAAATTTATCAGGGAGGAATTGGATTTTTTTTTTAGCAAATTCTGTGAATTGGTAGCAATAGACTGAGATGAGAGGCATTGATGCGACCCATGCGACTGCCTCTTTCAATTTTTGTTTTCTCTTGTTTTGCAACTTATGTATGTGAAAAACTTACTTTGTGCATGGATTGGAATACTAATTGTTCTATAGTGCATTTAAGTTTTAAGCTTTTTTTTTTAAAAAAAAATTTACAGCATACAACGTGCATAAATGAGTTCTAACCACTGTGTTAAGAAAAATAAGTCAGATTATCAAACCTTCATCGGGACAAGATCCATGTCTATAAATCAAGATATAAAAGTTCTAGTTACTATTTTTATTTGTAATAACTAATATCAACCCTCACACCAAAAAGAGCCAGAGATAAATTCAAACTTTCTTGAAAGCAAATATGGGCTCCCACTGACAAGGTAGCAGTTTCCAACTAAATTTAAGGTTAGAAAATTAGGAAAAGATCCTAAATATTAAAAATGTATGAATATAATTGCTTTTGAATAATTTCAAATAACAATGTCAAACAGATTATAATATTTCCTAATATCGTCAATAATTTAATCATTTCATCATATAAGAAATCAAACTTCAGATTTAAACAATTTTCTTTTTTTTTTATTTAAAAAAAAAATCATGTACTGGAAAAAAGTCAGTACCACGAAAATTGGTTTGATTGGTTCGAGTCTTAATGCATGCATCATATTTCAATTATTTAGAAAATAAAATAACAAAATTTGAATGACTGAATTTCCAGATTTGGCCCTCCCAAACGCAACTAATCCCATGCTGGGCTTTCCTTCACTAGGAAACTTTATTAGTTATGAAAAGAATACTAGTCTTGAACTCAACAAGCCCAATGAAAATTGAAATCTGGCTTTAACCTTAAACCTAAATATTTGAGCCACTGCTTTTTAATTAGTTAATTTAAGTAACTACTAATTAATTTTTGTTTAGTTTCCATAACTAATTTAAGTAACCTAAACATTTCAGACTTTTTATTGAACATTTTTAGTCTTCACAGTGGTACTTATTATTCATGCTATCAAATAAAAAAAAAAAAAAAATCTAATTTTGGTTCTAAACCGAAAATAAAATTAAAACCGATGATTTCAAAACTACCTAAAAACGATTTGATTTAAAAAAAGAAAGAGGAAAAGGTTTATCCCTTACAAGAATATAATTAAGGAGTGTATGTCCAAGAAGTGGCAAATGAGAGTCCAAGAAGAAGAAGAGGAAGAGCAGAAATTAATAAGGGTATAGGCTTATAAAATGAGATTGGTAAAGTGTCATCTTCAATTGCCATAGCCATGCATAAGTGGGAAGGCATGTGGTCTCAAAAAAAGGCAGCATCAGCTAATATCTCATCCACATTTCATGGCTCCCCAGGTCCACTCTGCTGTCATGTAGGACACCCCCAACAGAAATTATGAGTTGGTCCTCCTCACATATCTATATACATATCAACAAACAAAAATCAAAATAATTTCCCAAAAAAAAAAAAAAAAAAAAAACAAAACAAAAATCCAAATAATTTCCCAAAAAAAAAAAAAAAAAAAAAGCCAAATTTTAAAATTTCAAGAAACTGTTTTTAAAAAGGGTTAGTCTATTTCTGAATATAAAAAAAAAAAAAAAAAAAAAAGCCAAAATTTAAATTTCAAGAAACTGTTTAAAAGGGTTAGTCTATTTCTGAATTATTCATGTTTGAAGTAATTTTTATCTATTGATTGATTTGATTAATCTTTTATGTGGGTTATATTGATTTGGTTAATTAATTATTGTAATAATTTATATTCTATGAATGGCTAGTTGAGGGCCAGAATATCTTGGTGAAGGCTACATACATCATGTGAGAGCCTCCTCTCTATCTGCCTTGCCATTTAAACACACGTGCGAATAAAAATACTATTTTAATGAAAATTTAAAAAAATAAAAAATAAAAACAAGAAAAACAAAAGAGGAAAAAGATAAAAAGTGGTGATAAAGTGACAGTGACCTAAGCTTCATTATAATGATCTGTCCTTAACTGTTTTGCTATAGATGGAAATTAATTAGAAGAAAAAGCTTATTAAAAAGCCCTATCAAGGTGCCAATCGATGCTTTCACAATTATTAATTATGAGTAGGTTGAAATTTGATTGCATTATTGAATTAAAAACCTCTTTATGTTGCTTATCTTAAAGCTGCTAAACTCCAACATTTGGGTTTAATGCTCACATTTCATTTTTAAATAAGCATATTTTCAAGCATTTATAGATGGGTTTTCATTAATTAGAAATGAAAGTTGTAATTTTTTTTCATTTATTATATATAAAATACATGAAAAATTAATGGGTTAATTCTAACGAGCTGTATCTCACATACTTTTTAAATATAAGACTAATTAGTAATTTCTTATAGATCGATACGTAAAAATTCAAAACTATCAATGATATTCAATCTTAATTTGCTGCTTTAAGGTAGTTATTATTATCAATGGCATGATTATTTATTTATTTATTTATTTTTTCTCTATTGGTTTAGTAGTTGGCTTTCAATTCCAAAATATATAAGATAGATTGACATGATTTCAAATTGCTTTATTAACTAAACTAGTTGGCAAATGATAGCCATTCATTTTTGTTCATAGCTTATAGTATTGAAAAATAAAAAATATTTTATCTTTTTTTCAATATTCTAATTTATGTGTTTGATTGTTAAATAGAGTAATAATTGATCTCTTTATAATAGATTGTTAGGAAGAATAACCATTTGTGAGCAGTTGATTTTCAGGATACATACATATATATAATTCAGTATTTATATGAAAAGTGGATATTTAGAAAAATATATTTTATAAATAGGAGTGAGTATTATTTTATTTTTTAAAAATATTTTAGTTTTTAACTATAGATAAAAAAAAAAAATTTATTTTCTTAGCCTGCATGGAAAAGTGTGGAAGCCATATATTGAGGAATTAGATTTTCATGGGAATGTAAATACTCTCTTACTAATCAAAAATTAAAATTTTATTTTTACAAATCATTTTTTCATGAGATTTCGGTGATCAAACCCTTCCTAAACGTAATTATTTTTATAATTTATTTCGAAATAAACATGAAAATTATACATTCTACTTCAATTTTATGATGTAGAACTTATCCATAATTAATTATGAGGATGACTCATAATTTTAGAACTTTGTAGGCTAAATATTAAATTATTTGCATAAATACACATATTCCAGAATGTAGGAAATAAATATCACTTGATCAAACCATCTAATCCACATCAACAATAAGTACATAAAGTCAAAATATACAAATCAAAAAAGAAATTAATAGTTTTGTTTAGAAGCAATTTTCAATTTCAATGGGATTTGTTTTCCCTTTTCTTTTATATATGAAGAATTATATTATAAACTCATGAAATTCTTTTTATTATGATCATAAATATAAATTTTAATCATCATGTGGAAAAATACATGCAAAAAATTATTAACATGTGAAATCAATATCCTAATAATAACTTTCTTTTCTTCTGAGGGAAGAAAAGGGAGAAATAAATAAATAAATAAAAAAAGAAGTATATAAATGGTATCAATTAGAGGTCCACCAAGAGTTCAAAATTCTGAGACCCCCAACCCTTCAAAGCCAAAGTGAAGTGCCAGTAGAAAGGGCTAAGAGAGTGACTATAGCCAAACCATGAAGCCTGCTCATTAGAGCATAAGACCATAAATCTCACCATATTTGTCATGGAAATGTTTAGTTAAAGGGTCATCTGGTCCTTGTTCGTAACCAGGGTGGGCTCTCGATCATAAACCTTCAAAATCTTGTCAGTGATAATTTATATAGATTTAGTTATATATATAATTATCTTTAACACAATTAATTAAATTAATGAATAATACAGCTTCTTCCTTCTTCTCATTAATTAAAATATTTCTTTTTATTCTAAACTACACCTAATTAAAGTAAATATATAAATATCCACAGACACACATATATCTATTTCCATTATACTTTGTGCTATAAAATAAAATACTGAATTAATAAGCTGTTAATTAGCTTAATATGAAATATGGTATCCATCAATAATAGCTTTCATATAAATAAATAAATAAATTATTAAATATCCATAATAAGCTTATCTCTACCATTTAAGAGATATGAACATATATATAATTAGTTAGGAACTTAATTAGCACATACAGAAACACAATCATGACATTATGGTTTAAAGAATTGAACAAAATTAAGCCAATTAATACATACTTAGCATTGCAAATTAAATATAAATACCAAATGATGGGATTATGGCCCCCTTCTCCCTTTCTTTTATGCTAATAAAACAATAATAATTAATAAAATTAATAAGTAACAGTAGCTGGCAAAGATAATTAATTATGTATATATATATATATAGAAAGAAAGTTGAAATACATGGAGATGGTCTCCTCCAATTTAATTAATTTTGGTGTAGTCAATATCAATTGATATGTCCTTAAAACAATCCAAAAATGGATGATGCATAGTGTTATTATTAAGTAAGCAGTACAAAATTCCAACATAAATTGCTTAGGGAAACCCTAACGCTAACCCTAACCCTAACCCTAATTTGGTGAACTAGTACCCTAAAAAATAAGGGGTGGGGAAAGGACTAAAAGGCCCAATTAAGAGAGGAATCCCAAAGTTCCCCAACAAAGGTGTAGAACAAAGGCAAAGGCCAAAGGCAAAATGAAATGATTACTTGAATGAGAAGGGACCCACCCGATAATCTTTCCTTTCTAAGTCTCTCAATTTTTTGACTTGGGATTGGGACCCACCTCGGCCACCATTGTCTTTATGGATTGAATGATAAAAAGAGCACCTCACGTGGAGTCTGAACCAAAGGGGCTGTCCAACCACAATAAAAAGGAGCCCTTCATTCCACATAAATATTTCTTTTTTTTTTAAATAAAATTTTTTAAAAAATCCTTTCTTCCTCCAAGATTTTTTTTTTTTTTTTTTTTTTTAGAGAAAATGTGTGTGCTTCCTCAAGAATTGGGGTTATTTAATTTTGTTTTTAAGTTTTAATTCTTCATCCTTCAAAAAGGAAAGAGATCTTTTTATAATTTAATCCTTAATTTTTTTTTTTTAAGAAGCATTTTTTTTTTTTTTTTTTAGTTTTAATTCTCTCCTTCAAAAGGAAAATTTTTTAATTTAATTTAATTTTTTTTTTAAAAAGCCCTTAACATCCCATCCCAGCACATCAACAAAGCAATTTCTTTTCTAAAAAAATTTTTGCTTTTTAAAGGTTACCCATATAATTCCCACTCATTATCCTTGTTGCTTAAAGCTTGCCCTCTGCCCTTATCCTCTCTCTAGCTAACATCAATTCTCCAGGGAAAAATTCTTCCAATTTCCAGGCAACCAAACAAAACCCTCTTTCTCTCCATTCAAAGGAGACCCACTAACAGATTAAACTAAAAGTCTCTTTAATAACAGGAAAAACAAATACCAGAAAAGAAAAAAAAGAAGAAAAAAAAAAAAAACTACAACACCAACAAGCCATTAGAGAAACCACATATTTTCATGCCATAATGGAAGGAGGTGATGATCAGCTCCACCACCACCACCACCACCACCATCACCACCGTCCTACCTTCCCATTTCAATTACTTGAGAAAAAAGAAGATGAACCTTGTTCTTCTTCCTCTCCTTACCCTTCTCTTCCCATCTCTAGTACTGAACCAAACAACAATAATAGTAGCACCAATAATAACCTAAACCGTTCTTCTTCTTCGAGTCTCCAGATTGTTCCAGAAACTTCAAAGAAGCCTCCGCCTAAAAGAACATCGACCAAAGATAGACACACAAAAGTCGACGGACGTGGTCGAAGAATTCGCATGCCAGCTCTCTGCGCAGCTAGGGTTTTCCAACTAACTCGTGAACTCGGTCACAAATCCGACGGGGAAACCATCGAATGGTTACTTCAACAAGCCGAACCAGCAGTGATCGCCGCCACCGGCACCGGTACAATCCCTGCAAATTTCACTTCTCTTAATATATCTCTACGTAGCTCAGGTTCAAGTATGTCCGTGCCTTCCCAGTTAAGATCGGCGAGCTTTAATCCAAATTTTTCGATGCAACAACGCCGGAGTTTATTCCCTGGAATAGGTCTAGAAACGTCACCGACGCCGACATTTTTAAATTTCCAGTCTAGTAATTTGAATGCAGTGCTTCAAGCGAAGCAAGAATTGCGAGACACTTCATCTCTTGAATTATCGACTGAAACAGAAGAGAGTTTAGGAAGAAAGCGAAGGCCCGAGCAAGATTTATCATCGCAACAGCATCAGATGGGCAGTTACTTGTTGCAATCTAGTACAGGAGCAATTCCAGCCACCCACAGTCAGATTCCGGCCAATTTTTGGATGCTCGCTAATCCTAATAATCAAGTTATGAGCGGAGACCCAATTTGGACATTTCCATCTGTTAATAATAGTGGTTTGTATAGAAGCACTACCTCTAGCGGATTGCATTTCATGAATTTTCCTACTCCGGTCGCCTTGTTGCCTAGCCAGCAATTAGGCTCTAGTAGTATTAGCGGCGGTGGTGGCAGTGCTGGCGGTGGAAGTGGTGGTAATAGTGGTATTACTGAAGGTCATTTGAATATGCTTGCTGGATTAAATCCATACCGGCATCCTGGTGTGTCGGAATCACAAGCGAGCGGATCACACTCACACCACGGCGGTGGAGGCGGCGGCAACGGAGATGATCGGCACGACACAACAAGTCATCACTCGTAGAGCATCAGTATTATCACCATCATCATCATCATCATCATCCCCACTTGTGTAGTTTGATGTGTAACACACGTGAGGTTTGATTGTTCTTGAATTTGAGTTTTGTTTTGTTTTCTTTCCTTCTTTCTTTCCCTATTTTTGGATTAATTATTATTCCAAATTTTTTTGTGTGATTAATATGGGGTTTTAGGGTTTGATCAAGGGATGACAATATTATTTAACAAGGGTATTGGCTGGATTTTGATTAAAAAGAAAAAAAAAAAGTTCTCATTTGGGTTTTATTAATTATTTTTTTTATTAGTATTTAGTACTACACAATATATATACTCATCATCATCATCATTGTTTGTGCAAAATATTCAAATGCCAAAGCTAAGCTGCTTGCTGCTATATACTCTGTAATGGTGATGAAGAATTAAAACAGGCTTATAAATTAAGGACTATAACTATTAAGTGCCCTACCTAACTACCAATTGAATTCTCTTTCTCTTTCTACATCTATATTTATATATAAGATTGGGACTGTGGACTGGAGGGTAAAAAGGCAATAAAGTTTTCATTTTTTTTATTTTTTATTTTATTTTTGGACGTAGGGAAAGAGATGAAACAGTGTTTCCTTCCTTCCTTACTTACTTACTTACTGCAATGTAGTATTGAATTAAAAACTGAAACTTTTTTTCTTTTTCTTTTTCTTTTTTTTTTTTAAATAGTTTTATAAAATTTTCATGAAAAACCATTCTGATTCTAAAATCTCTGCCATGAATCTCAAGGTTTACTGCATCAATGATTAAGATTATTCAGAGAGATGGGAAGGGGAAGGGGTAATAGGACTGTGGGACCCAGACCTTATCAGTTCCAGGTGTTGGCTCAGGTGGTGGGACCCATATGCTGGTCATTGCCCAAACCAATGTACAATGTCACTGACAAACAGGTGGATCATTCCTCCTCCCTCCCTCTATCTCTCTCTCTTTTCCTTTTTTTTTTTTTTTTTTTTGGACCCATATGGCTGGTCATTGCAACAAACCAATGTAAAATGTCACTGGACAAACAGGTGATCATTCCGTCCTCCCTCATCTAAACCTCTCTCTCTCTTTTTCCTTTTTTTTTTTTTTTTTTTCCATCTTTTTTTCATAATGAGAGAGAGATTGGATCGATAGTAATTTTTTTTTTTTTTTTTTTTCCATCTTTTTTTCATATATGGAGAGAGAGATGGATCGATAGTAATAGTAAATATATAGAATGGATTTGAGGAGTAGATGTTTTGCTGGCACCATTAGAGAGATCGGTGGTGGGTGTTAATGACCCTACAAAGAGAGGGATGACCCTACTGATTTTTTTTAAAAAAATTAATCTGGACCGTTTATTTATATAATGGGTCCCAGTTTTTTGATGGGTACATTGAATGATTGGGTCTCAGTGAGAAAAATGTGGAATCTGGAGTTTCATTCGAATCATATCCCAACTTGTTACTGTCTCCCTCCAATCTGTTCATTTCCTTCTTTCTTTCTTTCTTTCTTTCGTTCCTTCAACTCGGCAATTTGAGCTTTCCTTCTATTGTAGGTCCTGTCAAGTCCTACCCTATATATGCACTATAAAGTGCTTTCGCAACCAGATTTTACTAAAACTGTAAAACCCTTCAAGTAAAATCTTTTCTATTGTGAAACCCTCCGAAGTAAAACCTCCAGATGACGGTAATTTCAGGCTTCGAAACCCTTATCTCACAGGTAAAGTTTACTTGAAGATAGAGTCCACCTCCACTAACTCAGTCATCTGACTTTTTTCCCTCTTATGAGTCATAGATATTTCTAGTTAATGGATGCAAAAAATGGAGTATATATTCAATTCTTATTGGCTTAATGGAGATTCATAAATAAAAATAATAGTTCTTATAGTACTGTCTTCTATTTTCATAAATGAAAATTGACAAAAGTGTATCTAGAAGAAGAGTTGAATAAAGGGTACTGAAGGTTTATGTAATTAATTAGGGAAGCTGCCATTATTTGATGTGAGGATGGAGAAGAAATATAACTACCAGAAAGGAAATTTAATTATCAACCCTTTTATTCAAAAAAAATATAACTACCAGAAAGGAATGGCAATGGATGTGTTTCGTCATTTCTATTATTGCCTGTTAGGCAATTGCAGAGAAGGTGAGACAAGTTTGGCTTTATTTTATAATTATTTTTTTGAATTATTAAGCAAATATATTTTTATAATACGCTATCGTTGAATATTATATGGATATATAAATATATGAAATTTGAATATAATAAATCATTTTCAAAGAAGAAATATCCGTGCTGGTTTTCAAATAATCAGAAATAGTCGAAGGCACATGACCCTCGAGTGACTTCTAATCTATGCCTAACAAGCATCACACATAGTGGTGAAGGCTTCGTCTCCAACAAATGGAATAGTGACCAAAATTGCATTTAGGTTTGGGAAATTTCAATTCTTAGTGAAAATGAATTAGCTAATGGCATGTTTAGATCCAAATTCAAGTAAAATTGCGTAGTTTTGTTGAGCTATGTCCATACACTAATACTATCTACGCATAAGCATTTATTTGGTCAAAATTTAGGCCTTGTTTGATTCAAAATGTATAATTTGAATGTGTTTGATTTGGATATCAATTTCTTGAAAAGTAAATTGATCTTAAACTATAAATTACAATAATATTCATAATATAAAATCGAGTGTATTTAGATAATTGGATTACTGATAATTCATTGCACTTCTAGTTACTTTTAAATAACTTATTTCCCTTATGTGAGAGAAGTTGAATAATCTATTTTCTGAGGAGTAAAATTGATAATACAAGCTAAACACAAACATTTCATACATTTATCAGCAAATTACACTTTTTTAATCTACTTACTCCCAACCAAACATCATGTAAGATATAATTGCAATCAACATTAAAGTTTTAGGACATAGTTAAGAAAAATTTTTAAACTGGACAAGATTAAGAATTGATCAACCATGTCTACAAACAAAAATTTGGAAATGAAACAATGTTAGATGAAAGGAGTGGACATTAATCCAATTGAATAGCACATGTTTTCTCATTTATTATGATTTGGTATATGCGTGGGAAAATGGTGCCAAACCCATCATAGCTAAAAACGAAAGCACTTCTCCTTCGTACTCATACTGCACATGGATATGAGCCATTTTGCTACAACCAAATGGGCCCTTCAACAACATGTTGTATCCCTAAAATAGAATGATTAGACCCTTCTAATCCCTTTTTTTGTTTATTCAGACTCAACAAACAAGTCGCATCCGTTTAGGAAACAAATTTTTTTTTTTTTTTTTTTTTTTTTTTTTTTTTTTTTTTTTTTTTTTTTTTTTTTTAGACCTTCTAATCCTTTTTTGTTTATTCAGATCAACAAACAGTCCGCATCCGTTTAGGAAACAAAATTTTTTTTTATTTTTTTTTTTTTTTTTTTTTTTTTTTTTTTTTTTTTTTTTTTTTTTTTTTTTTTTTTTTTTTTTTTTGCTTATTAGGTGTTAAGACTGTAATAGATTCTGTAGGTTTTGGCCCATAAAATCTCTTAATTCCATTTTTTTATAAATTTTTTTCACTAATTTGGGCCCATAAAATCTATTAATCCCTCTGTGATTTGATGATTATGTTGTTTCATACACAACCATGTGCTTCCCTTCTGGCATTTAGCCTGCAGGTTGGTTGTTAGCATATAAGAGTGTGGGTCAAGACCCACCAACACAACATTTCTTAACCCCTCCAAAATGTTTTGTGTTTGCAATTTTGGGTGCACCCATATGGTATCACATTACTATTCTTTGGTTTCAAGCTATTGGATATATCAACCGTCCGATAATTGAGTGTCTACTTTATAATGTAGCGAAAATTTCATTTATTATCTCAATATATTTTGAATAAAAAAAAAAAAAAAAAAAAAAGAGTACATAAGATATTTATTCTTGAAAAAAAAAAAAAAAAAGAGTACATAAGATATTTATTATTGGAGCTCAAAAGTGAAAAATGCCGTGAAAAATGAGCTCGATCTTTTCCTATCATGATATGATTGCAACATTTAAACCAAGCAAGAGCTCCTCAAGGCAATTAATTACTGGATTGGTGCCCCCACAATTTAATAATACCTTTGGTCAATAACACCGTACCTACCCAAACAATATATGCAGGGCAATTGAGTAGAGGGTGAAAGAATCTATCACTTTGAAATTGTTAAATTTTATTTTTAACGGTAAATTTCATATACGTTACTCTCCTCGAACCCATGTGGCTGGCTTTCAAATTATAAATAGAGTAATTTTAGTTCGTACATGTATATTAGTTATAAAGTTGCTGGATAAAGTGAGAAAATGAGTAAACAAGGAGACAGAATGTTCACAAAATGGGTAAGAATGGAATTCAAACTTTAAAAATTTGCTTTGGGAAAAATCTGAGACAAGTGAATCACACAGGACATGATGTATGGTATTGGTATTTGGTACTAAATAGAGGAGTAACCAAAGGAAAAAGTGAAGGAGAGAGTCGGTAAAAGTTTAGTAAAGAATGCATGTGTCATGTCGGTACCATTTATTTATTATGTTTCTATATATAACCAATTTAAATTTCTAAAATGCTTTCAAAGGGTATCTATGTCATTATCATTTATTGTTTGAAATTGTAACATATCACTAGTAAGTAGTATCGAATGAAAAGAAAAAATGTCATTACCCAAACGAAAATGTCAAAATTCCACCAGAAGTTGGTATGGATTGAGAATTGAAATTTCACAGTAAAACGGGTAAGCCACCGTTGGAGGTGGCAAATGATGTGGGAGAGAGATTTCGATCTGTTACTTTACATGTGCTTTTGAGTCTACAAAACAACAGCAATAGCATGGATGGTGGTGGTGGTGAGTAAAATTAAGACTATGATATATCATCAATCAATTAATAATGGAATTGAAGATGGCGAGAGTGGTTAAGAATTGGTGGAGCCATTCAAAGACTGTAGTTCTAATTTGGTCTGTTTGCATAATCGTTTCCTTCTCTTTGCTCCAACTGGCTCTCAAAAATTCTTCTTCCCTTAATTACCCCTCTCCTTCGTCTTCTTCAGGTATGTTCCCCGTGATTTCTCTCTCCTTCTTTCTTAATTTTAGTGTTAGTTCCCCGAAATTTGTATCTTGCAGATTTTTTTTTCCTTGGATACGATAGCTTGGGACTGTAATCTAACATATAAAGGGACAGTTAATGATATTTTTCTTTGGTCGATGCTCACTGTTCTAAATCATGTTCATGAGCTCGTTATTGTTAAACCCATATGCTCGATCCATTTGTAATTTATGAATATTTTCCCAGGTCGGATGGGTTAACCATCTGTTTCTGAAATTGAAAATTTGTAATTAATGGTAAAATTTTCATAACGGTATGTTTTTTTTTTGAAGA